CAAAAATCATTTTTCTGTAATCACTTTTTCTGTCCCTCTTCTCAATCTCCCTTCACCAAAAAACATCTTCCAATTGTAATAATTACTACAAATGCTATACAAGCCTCAATAGACTCTTTTTACATCCACTCTTTAGCCACCAAAACGTCTCAACTCTTACGGATTCTCAAGTCAGGGTTAGTAAGGATCAAGGTGTTTGTCACATGATCAACTTGCACAATCGCTTTTCCACTTTTTGTGTTTTTCTTTGTATTAGCACCAATATCCTATACTCATTACGCTTCTTTTATTTCATATCATTCCAAAACTGTTGCACTCTTCTTTCGTAGCAAAAATCATCACTATTATAAACTCACTACATCAGACACTATCTCCTCAACAGAGGCTAACGCCTCTTCTGATCACAATTTCATTCTTGTAATACATTCAAAAATCAATATAGATGCACTAGATAATCGTAGTAATCTAAACATTTGCTATAATAATTTGTATCCTCCATAAAGTCTCCTTTACCTAACCTAACCTTGCTGAATTAAAAACTTACAACAAGCAGTACTTATTAGCATACTTGGTACTCAAGGACGAATCGTATAGTGGTTATTATTTCTGCCTTCCAAGCAGAAGACGTGGGTTCGATTCCCGCTTCGTTCATTTTTTTACCTTGGAAAAAGCCCTTTTACAATTTTTCAATCTTTTTTTTTTTCACTTTTTTCACTCTTTCTATTTCTATTCTTCTTTCTTCTATGATTCATGAATAAAGGCATCTGGTATTCTTGTACGAGATTAGTCCATAATGCTATGAATCGGAAGGCAACAATTACTTTAAACGAGTCCGAGTCAAAGATTCGTGATTTGCTTGTGGGGTACTGCGATCATATTCACGCACAAGGGGGTACACGTTTAACTTTAAGGATTACTGGTGGATGGGTTAGGGATAAACTATTAGGATTTGAAAGTCATGATATTGATATTGCTATAGATCATCAAACTGGAGAGGAGTTTGTCAAAGGATTGAGTCATTACTTGAAAACCCACGACAACCCTGAACTTTCAATGAAACATATTCATACCATCAAGCTGAATCCGCTAAAGTCGAAACATTTGGAAACATGCACAACCAAAATGTACGGTATCGACTTGGATTTTGTTAATTTACGTTCAGAAGAGTATACTGAGGATAGCAGGGTTCCAGTGATTGAGTTTGGAACGCCGGAGCAAGATGCAATGAGGAGAGATGCCACTTTAAATGCATTGTTCTACAATATGAATGAAAAGAAAATTGAAGATTTCACGGGAACGGGGTTGGAGGATTTGAAAAATGGGATATTGAGGACACCGTTGCCTCCTATAAAAACGTTTTTGGATGATCCGTTACGCATACTTAGGCTAATTCGTTTTGCTAGCAAATTCAATTTCTTAATAGATCCAACAACTTTAGACGCAATGATGGAGTCTCACAACCAAAAAGCGCTCCTGACAAAGATCAGCAAGGAGCGGATCGAGATTGAGTTGAGAAAAATGCTTGTTAGCGATAATCCAAGTTACGGTTTAAAGTTGATTCACCACTGTAATCTTGTACACAGCTTATTTTACCTTGATGAGCTAGAAAAGGAGTTTGACAGAGAGGCATTGGAAAGCTCGGTTAAAAGAATCCCGCACCACTTGCAAGCTGCAAGTGCGATTTTCCCTTACTACAAAAAGGCGATAAACTCATTTTCATCGTTTATCAAGTTCCCGCTCGACGACGATTCAAAGTTTCGTTTTTGGCTCGCAATGATTTTACACCCATATTCGGTGATTCCACGAGTTAATAATAATAAAGACATCTACGATCAATTCCTTCGCTTCGGTTTAAAGTGCAAAAAAAGCGATATTGCGAAAATTTCCAAAATAAACATGACTGATAAAAAGCCAATTGATATGTTTTTTAAAGACCCAAGTAGCGTGAAAAGATCAGATTTGGGCAAGTACTTGAGAAACTTTCCCGAATTTGCAGACCTCAACTTGTTGGTACAATGCTTCATTGATTGCATACATGGCGTTCACATTGATAAACCGCTATATCCCACTCCATCGCCTGATTCTCTTTCGGAGGAACACCTTACACTAATCAATCAAACTGTCGCCAAGTATGAGCTGTTATTCTCTAAAATTAAGGAATGGAACTTGTCAAATGTACATCTTTTGAAACCTCTCGAGGGTACAAAGATTGCAAATGCACTTAATCGTAAGCCAGGACCATGGATGGCTCCAGTCATCGACAAAGCGCTCATTTGGCAATTAGATAATCCTACAAGATCCAGAGATGAGTGTCTACAATATATCATGTCTCTATCTCTGAGCTCTTAGATATCATGTCTCTAAAGTCTTTATAGATATTTTTCATTTTCTTTTTTTCCCAAATAAAATTAGTCACATCATTAGTAATTTTTCATCACCACTTTCTTTTTTCCATTCCTTTCTTGTTTCATCAATGAAGATAGAGAAGGTGCCCATTTTGGGCAAAGAGACTATACATATAGGCTATCAGATTCAAAGCCATATTGTAAATGAAATAATCAAGGAATTGGCGTCGTCGACATATGTGATTATCACTGATACAAATATGTGCCAAACAGGTACATATGAAAAGTTGAAAACCAGTTTTGAAGAAACTTTACAGAAAGAACGGCCACAGTCGAGACTATTAACCTATCTTGTTCCACCAGGAGAGAATAACAAAAATCGCAAGACGAAAGCTCAAGTGGAGGATTTTCTTTTACAACAAGGATGCACGAGAGATACTGTTATTTTGGCAGTAGGCGGTGGAGTTATTGGTGATATGATTGGATTTGTTGCAGCTACTTTTATGAGGGGTGTAAGGGTTGTTCAAATACCGACTACTTTACTAGCCATGGTCGACTCTTCGGTTGGAGGCAAAACAGCTATAGATACAGAACTAGGCAAAAACTTTATTGGGGCATTTCACCAACCAGAGTATGTATTTTGCGATGTATCCTTTTTACAAACATTGCCTACAAGACAGCTCATCAATGGTATGGCAGAAGTGGTGAAGACGGCAACAATATGGGATGAAGAAGAATTCACTAGGTTGGAGAAGTTTTCCAAACAGTTTGTTGCAGAAGTATCCTCTCCAGAAAAGAATCTCGAGAATATCAAAACAGATTTGATAAAGACAGTATTGGGATCCGTAAGAGTAAAAGCCTTGGTTGTATCCGCAGATGAAAAAGAAGGCGGGTTAAGAAACTTGCTCAATTTTGGTCATACTATTGGCCACGCCATTGAAGCCATTCTCACGCCAGAAGCTCTCCACGGAGAATGTGTTTCCATTGGTATGATTAAAGAGGCAGAGTTGTCGAGATACTTGGGAATTTTACCCCCTGCAGCTGTTGCGAGACTTTCAAAGTGTTTAACTGCTTACAACTTGCCTGTCTCAGTCGATGACAAGAATTTCGCAAAGATTGTAGGAGCAAAAAAGAACAACTTGGAGATTGATACCCTTATCAAAAAGATGCTGATTGATAAAAAAAATGACGGAAGCAAGATCAAATGCGTTCTTTTGGAAAAAATCGGTAAATGTTTTGACTCAAAAGCTCACCAAATTTCTAAAGAAGATCTCAGATTTGTCTTGACTGATGAAGTGCTTGTACATCCGTTTAAAGATTTTCCAAGTTCCATTACTATAACACCACCAGGCTCAAAGTCTATATCCAACAGGGCTTTGATTTTGGCTGCCTTGGGTAAAGGTACTGTTAGAATCAAGAACTTGTTACATTCAGATGATACCAAGTATATGTTGGATGCATTGGTGTTGTTAAAGGGGGCAACTGTTTCTTTCGAAGACGAAACCGTTGTTGTAACAGGTAACGGGGGTGACTTGTTTGCTTGCAAAGAAGAGTTGTATTTGGGTAATGCAGGTACCGCTTCTAGATTCCTAACAGCTGTTGCCTCATTAGTGAAGGAGCTGTCAAAAAACGACAATGTTGTTGTTTTGACTGGTAATTCACGAATGCAGGAAAGACCAATTGGTCCATTGGTGGACTCCTTAAAAGCCAATGGATCCGAAATTGAGTATTTAAACAAGCAAGGCTCCTTGCCCTTGAAAATTGTTGCTTCTCCTTCTGCTTCTGCTTCTGCTGCTGCTGGGAAAGGTTTCAAAGGTGGAAAAATTACATTGGCAGCTACAACTTCATCACAATATGTCTCGGCAATTCTCATGTGTGCTCCATATGCCAATGAGGAGGTTACTCTAACACTAGTTGGAGGAAAACCAATTTCCCAATTGTACATTGACATGACATGTGCCATGATGAAGGAGTTTGGTGTTGAAGTTGTTAAATCAACAACTGAAGAATACACATATCACATTCCAAGAACAACCTACAAGAATCCAAGCGAGTACATTGTTGAATCTGATGCTTCTTCAGCCACATACCCTTTAGCTTTTGCTGCATTGACAAATTCATCATGCACAATTCCTAATATCGGCTCGTCGTCATTACAAGGAGATGCAAGGTTTGCAGTTGACGTGTTGAAACCAATGGGTTGTGCTGTGGTGCAAACAGAACACTCAACAACAGTAACTGGACCTCCTATCGGTGAATTGGTGGCACTCTCGAGTGTTGATATGGAACCAATGACCGATGCATTCTTGACTGCTTCGGTAGTTGCAGCAGTAGCGCAAGGAAAAACAACAATAACAGGTATAGCTAATCAACGAGTTAAAGAATGTAATAGAATCAAGGCCATGTGTGATGAGTTGGCTAAGTTTGGTGTTGAAGCTAGCGAAATTTCAGATGGAATTGTGATTTCCGGTGTTGATCCCACAGACTTGAAAACACCCCCATTGGACCCTGGTGTAAAGACGTATGACGATCACAGGGTAGCAATGTCGTTTTCCTTGTTAGCAGGCTTGTGTAAGAAACCAGTCTTGATCTTGGAAAGGTCCACTACTGGGAAAACTTGGCCCGGTTGGTGGGATATTTTACATTCTCAGTTTAAAACTACTCTTGAAGGATATCAAGGCAAGGCTGTTGTTGGTGCTGGTGAGCAGAATGGTGATAAGAGTGTAATTGTGATTGGAATGAGAGCAGCAGGGAAATCGACTTTATCTAAATGGCTAGCGGACTTTTTAGGATTCAAATTGTTGGATTTGGACCACCATTTGGAGTCCAAACTTGGGCAGGATATTAAATCTTTGATCAAGGAGAAAGGATGGGAATACTTTCGTGAACAAGAAACTATTGTATTGAAGGAGTGTCTTGCCAATTATTCAAGAGGATACGTTCTTGCCACAGGGGGTGGTATTGTAGAGTGCGAACAACCGAGAAGCACATTAATTGACTATATGGCAAACGGCGGAATAGTGCTCCATTTACACCGCGATTTGGATGAAACCGTTGCCTTTTTGAATTCAGATGCAACTAGACCTTCCTACTCACACGAAATTAAAGATGTATGGCTTAGAAGGGAGAAATGGTATCATGAATGTTCCAACTACTATTTTTACTCTACTCACTGCACAACACAAGAGGATTTTGCAACATTAAAAAGGACTTTTCTTAAATTTATTGCAAAAATTGCTGGTTTAGACACTTTTGAAATTCCAAAAGGCCGTTCCTCATTTGTCACATTAACCTACCCAGATTTGAAAGCGTGTATGTCTTTGATAAAAGATGTAACTGCTGGTTCCAATGCTGTTGAGTTACGTGTTGACTTGTTGGCCAGCACCCAACCAGAATACGTGGCTGAACAGATTGGGGTATTGAGAAAGTCAGTTGACTTGCCAATCCTTTATACCATTAGAACAGCTTCTCAAGGAGGAAGATTCCCAGATGATAAAGATGATGAAATGAGAAACTTGCTATTATTCGGGTTGAAGATGGGTGTTGATTTAGTTGACTTGCAATTGACTTGTTCAAACACAACCATAAGTAAAGTAAGTGAGCAAAGAGGTTATACAAAAATCCTTGCGTCACACCATGACTTTTCCGGTGACTTGAAATGGGACAATAGTCAGTGGCAAGATAAATACAACTACGGAAAAGCTATAAATGCGGATGTCATCAAGTTAGTTGGTAAGGCTACAACTTTTGATGACAATTTAAAGTTGGAGCATTTTAGAAAAGAAAACACAGAGAAGCCTTTGATTGCAATAAATATGGGGCCACGCGGTAAATTATCTAGGGTTTTGAATACAATTTTAACACCAGTTACACACGACCTCATTACTGACAAGCCTACAGGTGTTGGCCAACTCAGTCTTGAAGAAATCAACCGCGCTTTTTACCAAATTGGTGGCTTTGTTGAGGAAAAATTCTGGGTTGTTGGGTCGCCTGTTGGACATTCGAGATCTCCAGCATTACATAACGCCGCGTACAAAGCTCTTGGATTGCCATACAAGTTTGACAAATTTGATACTGACAATGCTGAGAAAGTGTACAATGAGTTAATGCTTGAGCCAAATTTTGGCGGGTTAGCAATAACGATTCCTTTGAAAATCGATATGATGACTTATTGTACGGAATTGTCGGAATCAAGCAAGATAATTGGTGCCATCAATACAATTGTTCCCGCGAAAAATGGGTTTCTAGGTGATAATACCGACTGGATAGGTATTGCAAACTCATTCAAACAAAATGGATTTATTGAGGGTAAATCAGTTAGCGGTTTAGTGATTGGCGGTGGGGGCACTTCGCGAGCAGCAATTTATGCTTTGCATAAGCTTGGATGTGAAAAGATTTATCTACTTAATCGTACTGAATCGAAATTACTTGATTTGATAAAGAATTTCCCAAGCGAATACAATCTTGAAATAATAAGCCTAAACCTTGAAGAAATTGAAACTCGTGATATCTCCTTGATTGTTTCTTGTGTTCCTGGGGATAAACCGTTAGATGAGAAATTAATAACGAGATTAGAAAAAATATTGAAAAATAATTCCGAGTCTATATTATTGGAAGCTGCTTATAAGCCGAGATTTACTCCAATTATGCAATTGGCTAGGGAAAAGTACAAGTGTAGGGTTATTCCTGGTGTAGAAATGTTGATCAATCAAGGGGATGCCCAGTTTAAGATTCATACTGGGTACCCTGCGCCATATAGTATCATTCGCGAGGCCGTATTGGAAGATTAAATAAATCCGTCACTAGGGAGCGAAGCGAGCAATCAAACTCGACACTAGGGAGCGAAGCGAGCTAATCACACTCGACACTAGCTCGCTTCGCTCCCTAGTGGAGCAGTATGTAGAGAGTAGTATGAATATTAGATACCCTGCGCCATATAATATCATTCGCGAGGCCTTATTGGAAGACTAAATAGAGTAAAATAAGTTGTTAAATGAGCGAGAAAAGCAAGGCCGTATTGGAGCAGCACTTTAAAGTACTCAAACCCAGTATGGATCTTGGGGCCCTGAACCATAAAAGGTCATTTGCTTGATAAGAGGTAGTGTGCTCTACTATCGAGCAGAGCGAGTTAGTGTTGATAAGAGCTAGAGCGAGATAGTGTCGCGCTTGATAGTGTCGCGCTCGATAAGGTTGACGACAGCTAGTGTACTCCACTATCTCGCTTTGCTCGATAAGGTTGACGACAGCTAGTGTGCTCCACTATCTCGCTTTGCTCGATAGTGTCGTGCTCGATAGTGTCGCGCTTGATAGTGTCGCGCTCGATAATGTCGCGATATTTTCATTTCGTTTTATATTTTTTGCACTCGGAGTTTTTTTTCCAAATTCATACAAAAATTCCGATAAACCATTGTATCCACACATACCTCTTTACATAGTTCTCTTATACTCCTAGCTCATACTTTCATATTGATAGTATTCTTCACACACACTTCTAATTTGTCACACACATATCTATTTCGTCACACACTTATCAATTTGGTCACACACACACTTACCTATTTAGTCAAATAGATTCATACCCCAAATTCTCCAGGCCCCTTATAAGAATTAAAGTTTCTTTTTTTTTTTTAATTTAATTTAATTTTTATTTTTATTTTTATTTTTATTTTTATTTCTTTTTTTTTATTTTTTTTTTTCTTTCTTTTTTTTTTTCTTCCTCATCACGCTCTTATTGCTATTCAGTTATATTCATCGCTAATTGCCATTATTCTATAAGCCAAGAGGATACTAAACTTGGAGCCCCCCCTGTCTAGCTGGATAAGTTTGTCTTGGAATAGACCCAGATTGTTTTGCAGAGGTTGAATAGTACCAAGAAATAAGAAAGTATCGAGTGTTTTGTCAGTCCTTTCTTTATCATTCCCCTCACCTTCCTTTTTTTTTACTTACTTGGTTAGTTGGGTTTTTTTTTTTTATAGCATTTTCTCAGCGTACCAAGAACTGAGTTTTCCTTTTTAATATGAGGCGACCTTACAATACGATACTGAAAACCGCACTACCTTTATCGAGGATGTGGCGACAAGCTTATGATAGTCTTCATAGACATGTTATACTCAACCAACCAAGGTATCAGCAGCTATTAACCAAACGGTATACATCATATTTTAAAGGCGCACAAAGTTTTTTCCGCGGATTTGACTCATTGGATAACAAGAGTAGTGGTAGTAGCAGCGGGAGTAACGCACCAAGAGAAACTGTCGAGGAAGGTATACCTTATGTCCGATATCCGCTATTTACCAAGGACCAATTAAAGAAAATCGCCGTGGATAAGTTCAAGTTTGAGTTTGGGTATGCCTCGTTTGGGTTCCACTCGGACTCAATTGTCCCTTCAATTAACTCATTGAGCGACTTGACAGATCCAACCCTGTTGAATTCTTTGCTACCGAGAAGAAGACCACAGGGGTCACCCAGTGACACACTAAGCATAAAAGCCGGAGATGATACTATGCTTGTATCGCCATCTGTGCTTGCAATTGCCGACGGTGTTAGTGGTTGGGAAAGCGACGGATTAATAGCCGACTCGGGAATATGGTCTAGGTCTATTGTGGAAACTTTCAGTAGACTAATGACAGAGTACAAAATCAGTCACTCACCTCACCATTTGAAACGAAGAGATATACAGGAGATATTGGACGATTCCTACCTACATACTTCTCACTTGATGGATTTGCAAAAATTGAATGGTTCGTCAACTTTAATTTTGGGAATGTTGAGCGGTGACAGAATATTGATGATAAGTATTGGGGATTCTAAAATTTTTATCATCAGAAACGGAGAGATTGTGTTCACAAACAAAGAAGAGTCAGGAGAAGGGTTTTGCCCTACACAAATTGGTACAAATACCTTGTCGAAAATGCCTTCCGATTTTGCTTGGATCGATCTGTTTGAGTTAAAGGATAACGACTATGTGGTAGTTTGCTCAGACGGTATAACTGATAATCTATACGAGTGGGAAATCAATAATTACATTGACGAATTTATTAACCACAAGAAAAACAATTTAAAGACTGTGGCACAAAAGTTATTGATAAAGGCTAAGGAAGTAGCTTTTGATGACTACTCATATACACCATACAATGAAAAAGTGAATCAGACTCTCAGCAAAGGGGCTGGTGGTCTGCCTAGCCGTGGTGGTAAAGTCGACGACATGTCAATCGTTGTGGCGAAAGTAGTTAGCTGTAAGTAATAAAATTCACTAAACGAGAGATGCATATATATATATATATATATATATATATATATATGTGTGTGTGTGTTTGCTATCTAATGGGTTATACTTATTGTGCACCGGATATCTCTGAAAAGTATTGTCGAAGAATTGTTGAAAGCATCTCAGGAAGCTCATGAATGTTATTAACAACAACATAAAATTCAAATGGAAAGCTGTCAAGGTATTTGTCAACTTTGAGAACCATTTCATTGGTGTTTTTATCAAGTTCATACCTAACCTGCTGCATATCCAAAATTGACTCCTTCAGATTGACACCATTAATCACAACAAAAACCATCATTATTTTCTCATCTCTAGCTTTTCTCACTAATCTCAATATAGACTCATGACTTTCGCAAACACCATCACTAATAATAATCTGTAATTGCCATAATTCCGACTTATTGTCAAACTTTTGTGCCTCAAAAATCTTCAAAGATTCATTACACAAGGATTTTATGTCTGTTTTCGATTGTTGAAAGTCAAACCATTGGAAAACCTTGGCTCCAGTTTCATTGTTGGCATTGAATGGCTTATCAAAGGGATGAACCACTTTCACGTCTTCTCCAAATCTGACAATTGATAGTCCACCACTTTCCAACTGGCTTAGAGCTTTTGACACTAAGGCGATACTATGTAAAGCCAATCTTGATGCATTGCCCTCGCTCATTGATTTGGAATCATCAACAGCAATCATAATTTGATATTGTCTTTTAGAGGGTTTCGTTCTTCTTAACCAAATTTTGTCCTTTTTGAAATCCGAGGCAATATACGGGATAATACGTTTCATATTCAACCTCTTTCCCGTTTTATAATCGCCCCTTAATTTAGTACAAAGAGTGGGCTCCAAGATTAATCTCAATTGCTCACATAACCCAGATGCTAGTTCTTGTGTAGACAATTCACTCTCTTTCCATAGCGCTTTAGCATCTTCCAAAGACATAGGTGGTTGTTCTTTATCTTTTATATCGTAATTAGCAATTAGCTCCTCAATCTTTTCATCCTCTGTATCATCAAATGTCTCTTCGTGCCCCTCCTCAGTATCCCCCGTTTCCACCAACTCCTTCTCAACACCACCGTAATCAACGTCTTCTTCATCTTTATAAGAATTTGCTCCTCCAAAATTTTCTTCAAACTGCTCACGACCCTCAACTGGCTCCTCATTATTCTCCGTTTCCATATCTTCAGGATGATCCTCAGGTTGATCATCAGGTTGATTTACGTCATCGTCAATAGCCATATCTTCATCAATTGATTGCACTTGTTCTTTACTTGCAGCACCTAAAGCTTGCATATCTATGTCAGAATTACTATCTGGATTATGTTGAAACTCATCCGTGTTTTCATTGGCTTTCTGCTCAACCTCTTCTTCAGATTGAGCATTACGGATTTCCTCTCTACGACGATAGAATTCTTTTAGGCATTCACCCAACTGTTTGAGTGACTCATTCATAGCTTCTCTTGCCTCATCTTGATTTTCTTCAAAGCTTCCCTGGTTTTCTTGAGTCTGCAAACTCTCGTCGCCCGTGTTTTTCTCGCCATCTTTTTTGGGGGCTAGCGATGCACTGGCGGCACCTTCCCCAGACTCACCACTCTCTTGTTGAATTTCAGAACTTGCATCTTCATTGTCTTCGATATTAGCCTCGGTTCCACCATCACCACCTTTAGCAACTTCCGAATCTTTATCATCCTCAGCATCACCACCCTCTTCGGTATTCTTCGGTTCAGGCTCAATAATGTCATCCTCTGGCGTATCAGCATCTTTATTTTTCTCATTCGCATCAGCTGGATCGAGGTCTTCAGGGTCATGTTCCTCTCCTTGTTTTTCTGAATTTTCTTCCTCATGTTCAGATCCTTCTTCTTCTTCTTCTTCTTCTTCTTCTTCTTCTTCTTGACTATCAAGTACTTCTTCCCCATTTTCTCGTTCTCCCTCATCACTATCCTCATGCATGTCGTCGTCATCATTGTCATCTACACCAATATTTATATCCTCTGGAAGGTCCAAAACATCAGACTCTGGGACGTTTTCTTCAAGCTGCTCACTATGTTCATTACCCACTTGATCATCTTGCTCTGCCACATCATCTTCGCCCTCCTCAGTCTTCTCTTCTTCATCCTTCTTCTTCTCATCCTCCTCCTCCTCCTCCTCATTAGACTGCTCTTTTTGATCATTAGTTTCCTGTTTTTGCTCATCTTCATTAGCCTCCATATTATCATCATTGGTGGAGTTTTCTGGAAGCTTTTCAGATTTCTTCTCCAAATCATTTTCCTTTGCTTCCTCATCCCACATTTTCTCATCAACACTATTTGGATCTAGTTCATCCAAGTTGTCTATTTCTTCATCTAATTCCTCACCTTCGCCTTCGTTATCATCATCATCATCATCATCATCATCACTACTCTGATCAGACATGTTTTCCATTTTTCCTTCCATGTCCCCTTCGATTTCAACAGCGTCATCCTTCTCATTATCTTCATCTCCATTTTGATCTTCATTTGGCTGCTGAGCGTTTTCTGTTAAATCTTCGTCCTCTTCAATATCGTTGGAGTTGTTTTGAGCTCCCTCACCATCTCCTAAACCAGTTCCATCTTGCAAATTATTATCTTCTTTTTGTTCGCTTGGCGGCTCAGGTGTGCAAAAGCCCTTTGTTGCTAATGAATACAATATAGCAGATAACATGTATGTTCCTTTTGCTAAATCTTTGTAGCTCGAAAAGGATTTTTCAAACACATACAAACATAATTGTACATAGCTTTCAACTAAAGGAGAAGTAAATCCTGATAACAACGATATCAAACGAGACTCTGCAGGGGAAACTGACGTTGCCTTTTCAATACATTTGCTTAATTTGGAGGCGATTGATTTAATATGTGTGGTCTTGATCAACTCAAGCACCTTGCTCTGAGAATTGACCAACCAGCCATCATCGTTCCTATTGGGCATTTCATCAAATGCATTAATCTTTTGAACTGCAACAAGAATCATCGAGGATAGTTCTCTGAATTCAACCTCACAATCTTCCAAAGTGACGTTGTTCTTCTTCTTCTTCATCTCGTCCATTTGCACAACTGTCACCTCTTCTGCCAACCAATTCATGATAGTATCGGCAACAAATGCGCCTTGGGGTTTTTTCAACTTCCAGCTATTTAACAAAGAAATTGTTTCACTTTCAAATTCTCCAACTTCAGCAACAAGCTTTTCATCGTCACTGGTTAAAATCCCTACTTGAGCTCTTACAAACTTTCTCAATTTAATGCTTAAAATTTCAAAAATGTCACCATTCACCTCATCATCATTATCATTATTATTATTATTATTATTATTAATAAAGTAATTCAATGATGCTATGGTGGACTTTGCATACTCCAATAAGCGAGGTAACCAAATCCGAATTATCTCAACTCGTTTCAATCCCTGTGAAACTTTTGTTCTTTCATCCTCTCTTACCAATAAATCACCTTGCTTCTCCATTCTTGCCAAAAACAACAATTTCGAGTATTGTTCACGTAAATTCTTGTACTCACAGGCAAAGCTGTTCAATGGCTGTCGCTTCACAATCAACAAATGAACCAAATTCTCAGCTGCAGAAAGACCTTTTTCAACATCAGCAGCAGGCACATCTTCAGCTGGACTTGATACCGACTCTCTCAATCGTGGAAGTAAGTCCAACATTTTATAAAAAAAAGTATCACATTTCTCGAGGCACGTTCCTGAAAAGTTTCGGGAGTTTGCAAGAATCAAAGTTGCGGTCCGCTGTGTTGCAATTATGTCAGAACGTAAACTTGTCTTTAAACCAGCACGCTTAATCTCCTTAAGTGTATCACTGAGTAACTTCCGTTTCTGAGTCTTTAAAGCAGCAACTAGTTTCTTGTTTCCATCATTTAATTGGGTTGGTGTTTCCTTTCTCAAATTGTCCATCTCTTGTCCAAGTTCGAAAGCAAAGTCAACAACTAGTGGTAAGTTCTGTGTACCAACTCTTTCTACATACAATTTCATGTTCTGCTTCACTAGGGTAAGGTCTTGCAATCTCTTTGGTCTTTGATCCCATGATGAAATCTGAGTGAGTTCTTTAGTAATCTCTGGCGGCATAGCTTCCTCAACCGGCGGCAATATACTTGGACCACTTTCGAGCTCTTTGCTCAGCTGTGGCAACCCTTGCTCAATAATAGGCTGAACTGGAGTGTTCAACACTTCTCGATACTTCCTAACAATCTTGTATAAACTGGAATGAGACTTACGTGCACTCTGTTTCAACGCATCAATATTTACATCCTTCCAACTAGCTAACAATATCACCTCATTAATGCTTTTCTGTAACTTCTCCCTCGAAAGCTTAATCTGCTCACTAATTGCTGAGCCAAATTGTTCGTAAAATGTTATAAAGTTGGACAATGCATCAACAATAGCATGACAACTATCTATTAATTTGGCATGATTTCTAAATGCCTTTAAAAGGTTTAAGCGACTGTAAAATTCCCCAAAAGATGCTTTGCTCATAAATGAATTCAAAGCTGATAAAAGCTTCACAGCATGATCCTCATCTTTTGTATCTTCTATAATAGGAATGATGATAACCTCTAATAAATGGAACCACCAAGAACCAACATTTTGGTGAAGATTTTTCTCTTCAAATTCAAACAATGAATTCCACGTTGATAATTCCAACTTTCTCCAAGAAATCATAAGGTTCGTCAACTGGTCATATTGAGCTTGAAGAGAGGTTTGTTTTGAAGAATATTTTCCCCATTCAGCCATGTAGGTATATATTTGCTCCAATTTTTGTAAAAACCGCCCCAAAGGCAAGCCCACTGGGAAGTTTAAGAACTCGCTGGTTGAAAATAAGATATTCTTGAGAGTTGCATGCTCTGGCCATTGATCCAACATCTTCTTGACGAGAGCGTAAACACCAGAAAGTATTTCTGTAGCTTTCTCCACTTCTTTTGGATTACTATCCTGGTAAAAATGGAAATCACTCACTGGTTCAGCAACGAAACGATGACAGTTGTGAGCATGATTAATTACAGCCGCCAATGAAGAAGCATGATTTGCATCCAGCAGCAATTGCAGCAGCAGCAGCAGTTGAAGACAATTATGTAACTCGCAGCCGCATTTTGTTAAAACACTCACATCGACTTTGGCATTTTCAAAAAACTTTTCAACATAAGTTTCTGCAATACGGGTATAAACAGTTTTAAAGTCATTTTGGTGATTTTTAGCGTTACTGCTATCCAATTTCACCACATCCTCGTAATCAGGAAATAGTTCTTGGAAATCCTCCTCGACATGCTCTTCGGTGTCCTTAAACTTAAACAAGCTTCCTTTTACAGTTTCTTCTTGTTCTTGTTTCATCTTTCGAAGTGACCATCGATAGTAGATTGACTTTAACGACTGGAAAACCATGTCCTCAACTTTCCCGTCTCCGAGATCATGAGCAAATGCTAGTTTCATAAAAAAGATCACAATCAACTCCGCTTTTGTATCGTCTATATCTAATGTCTTTGTAAAATTTTGTGCCCGAATAAATTCATCATAAACTCTTGACGTATTGGAAAATTCCAGACTATTTAATAGCCAATCCTTTGAAAACTTAAAGTTACCATCTTCAAAATCATCTATGGAGATGAGACTTAACCCAAATTTCAAGCCGTACAAGTACCCAAGTAGAATATCATTCAAATCCGAGTAAACAAGATAATTACGTTTCATTCTTAAGGCAAACTTGGAAATGTTACTTTGAAATAATGCCAACTTGCTCTTACCCAATAACGTATTCTTGAGTTCAATCTCTTTTATCAAATTTTCAATAGCGTTGAAATCGATACTAGAACTGAAAAATGAGTTCCACTCTTCAAACAATGCATTAACAGGTGTCAGATCCTCATCGGAACGATACACTTTAGGCTTAGCAGGAGCACCTTGCTGGTTTAGTTTTTCTAATGTTGATTCTAGGTAAATCTTATCATCTCCACTAATGACTTCTCTAATATTCTTCCATGACAATTGAAGACTGTCAGCATGAGTCGCACGAACAGTGTATACTTTCCACTCCACATATTCCTTGATAGCAGGATCGTTAGGCACATTTGGTACGTACAACTTTATCATTGCAAAAGAAAATAACACCCATGCCTTCCCAAGATCGGTCAATGCAGTAGCTTGTGATGCTAACGAAAATGCAGGAACTAGAAACTGCTGAATAACATTTTCTGCATTTGAATCAGGGAAACCGGTTCTAAACAATGCTTGTGGATTGCTATCAATATTGAGTCCTAGAGTCTTAAAAACCTTTCTCATCCATTCTAACAAAGTATCTGCAAATACGTGCTTTTGATTTCTTAAGATGGAGTGAGAGTTTTTCACCAAAGAAGTGATCAAAAGCTTCAAATCGGAAAGGGTGTCTTGGAGGTGTTGAACAGCACAATTGTTTAAATTGCCCGTTTTTTGTAATGTAGAATCGAGTAATGTACTTTTAAACATAGCCGTCACTCTCGCATCATCATCATCATCCTCATCATCATCAGGAGCATCCACAGCATCTTCACTCCAGATGCTATCCAATATCATAGGATAAGGTTTTGAACTTCTACTTTTCACAATAGAAGCCAATGACTTACCAGAGCGCATGTACAAATCAAGTAGCTTCTCATAAGTACTACCATCATCATCATCATCACCACCACCACCACCACCACCTGAACTTTCCAAAAAGTTACATACATTTGAAAACTCCGCTTTAAATACATTTTGACGGCTCTTGGGAAACAACAAAAGTTTGCTTTTCAAAGATTGCACTCCGGACTCAACCCCATCCATGACGACATTCAATTCGTCCTCATTATAATCACCTGTCTGGATTGATCGATATAGTTCACCAAACTGTTTCGCTAGACTGATAACACCGGGCGAAACTTCATCATCGTACTGACTCTTTGCAACATGATCAAAGTCGCTCATGACATGTAGTAAATTTTCAAATTGAGTCCAACCTTGCCTCGTTGTGGGGTATCCACCTCTATATTCGTCCCAAATCTGGTCCATTAAAAGTCCTGTTGTTAGTTCAAACAGCTTATCAAAGAATTCAGTAATTAGTGATGTTTGCAATAGTTCTGGATGAGCATTGCACCAACGCACAATCAATTGTTGAAAAACTCTTATCTTGGCTTCGTCTTTCTTATACAATGTTTCAATGAATACCTCAAGCAACAAAAGAAGCTCATAGATCTCTGTGTAAACAACAAACTTGAACGACTTGTCATGAGATGAAGTAGTAGCAGCCACCACATGCTGGAAAATTGCTTGCACTATTTGAAAAGTATTATCAATCTTTACAGGCTGTTTAATATTTCTACCTTGTGAGATCGCCGCAGATCTTTCAATATATGATAGATTCACCACTTTCTTACTCATAGACTCCAGCTCTATACGATTGATAATCGAGCCCAAACTCTTTAATTTACCAATGACTTCAAATAACATTGTAGATTCGCAGGTTAGTACAGATGGATGCTCTTGGACAAAAGTGGATACTATGTACATATTGATCAACGGATGGATTGATTGATTACCGGCATATTCAATGTCATGACCAAAGATTTCAGTGGCAAGTATGTCTGCTCTGGCATACATGGAGTGATTCAAGGCATTGAATTCAAATTGAGTGTAAAGAGCACAGTTTTCAACAATGGGTATTGACAAAGATTTCATACGTTCATCAAATTCCGTACTGTTGATGATGAGCTCTTTCCAATCACTTAGTAATGCCAAATCTTGCAGACTCAAGAGAGTCCAAAGTGCGCTCACAGCTGTAGGTGAAGCAGCAGCAGCAGCATCATCAACGGCACTAAACTTTCTCATATTTGAATTTCGATCAAATGAAAATATTGCTGTTGGTGTTTGACCATGGCTCAGTGATTGTAACACTTTAGAATCAAATTCAGTCAGTCTGGTTTGTAACGAATCCACAAACACCTCAATTCCACGATTTCTCATAGCTCTGGATAGTTCTCCATACCTCGGATCAACAGTCAAAAACAATCTAAAGTTTGGGTGAGGTACTATTACCCTTGGCTCACCACTCTCTGTTGTACATTCATTAATACTCAATGCTCCATTCGTTTCAAGCAACGAGTTCAATCTATCCAATACTGAAGGTGGACACAAATTAGCATTGTCAAGAACCAACCAATGTCCCTTTTCAAGTGCCTGGACTAAAAGACCATCGAACCACTCAAATTTCAACGAGTTTGGCTCTTTCAATTTTGTCAATATTTGTTTGCAACCGATAAAGACCAGGTATGGGATTACATCTTCAATTTCTAAAACTTTTTGGTAAAGTGTTTCAAAATTATCAACAGTTACCAGCTTTGACGAAATTTCATCAATAATTTCCAACATGACTACTATTTTGTTGTTGTTGTTGTTGTTGTTGTTGTTATCCTTTTCTTCGTTGTCACTTATAAACGAGATAGTCAACGCCGTCAAGACCGTCTCCAATTGAGCGAGCAAAGCATGCAACTCTCTCTGGATGTCACATTGCTCATAACCTCCTAAAATATCCATTGCATCAACATCACTATTCATTGAAAATTCATCCAACCTAGCACCAAGTATATTTGCCAAATATCTTACCATACAAGTTTTCCCGGCATTTGTTGGACCTGTCAAAATCAATGGAATATTATGAGAAACACAACAAAGTGCAGTCTCTAATACTTTAAAGTTGCATTGCAATGGAAGAAGCCTATTACCATTGTTGAATTGCTGCAACTTGTCTCTGGTACCAACGGAATTTCCAAATTGAACAAAGCTATCCGAAATGTTGTAGTAATTATCACGCTGTTGAATTGGACCAAAGCATGCAGTAAATAAATCTCGAGCTCTCTCGCGATCCTTGATGTTTCTAAACCGTTGACAAATAATCATGTCTATAAAGTTTGCAAGTTGAGTATCCACGTTTATGCTTCTTGAGGTGTACAAACTTAACCATCTCAAAGTATCTCTTAAATTAAACTCCCAGGGTGCACCTAGATAGCCCCATAACTTGTTTTTAACAACTTCTTCCTCTATCTTGGATATAAATGTAACCAACCTAGATGAGTCTTGCAAGGAGACTGATGGATAAATATGCTGTACTATGAATTCAAGATCTGTAGAGGTTAATGTATCCACATAAACAACACTGAAACGGTTAACAAATGACTTTGGTAATCCCTTTCTTCCACCACCTTGAAACTGTGGGTTTTGAGCAGCAAATATTCTAAAGTTTGGATGCTTTTTGAATACTTTATCTAGTTCTGGTACATATGCTTCACCTCTATGGTCTAGACATGCATTCAAACCTTCTAACACGGATTGTGACGCTAGATTCATTTCGTCAAGCAAAACCCATTCCCCCCGTTGCATTGCTCTCAAAAATGGAGCATCTCTCCACAGAAACTCACCTGCTGCCCCATTCTCCGCTGGCACATCAGATCCAAACAAGTCAACCAAATCAGTTTGCTCCGACAAATTAATTCTAACAAGAGGGTTCCCTGTAGCAATTGCTATAGTACTGACTAAACTAGTCTTACCCACTCCAGGACTTCCCTCTAGTAATATTGGTTTACTAAGTTGCATTGCACGAACAACTTTCATCGTATTAGATGCAGTTGTTGGAGCATCTAAACTGAATGCAACAATATTTCGTTCACTCGTCGTCGTCGTCGTCGTCGTCGTCGTTTGTTTAGCAATTGGTATTGAAAACAACCCTGCCTTGAAAAAATCGCCATCAATTCGAACCTTTGTGCCTCCAATAACATTCTCTTTTGCTTCTGCCTTCTCTTCAACTAATCTGAATAACTCAGCTTTGCATTTCTCCTTGACACTTTCCAAATTTCGTTGGTTTTCCGATAAAAATGCCGTGTTGTTTGTTCCCAAAGCATCCACAAATACCATTAATGCTCCATGAAAGAAAGCTGTTGTTGGGGTCAAATACGCATCACCAGAGTTGATAAAATCAACCCAAGCAAGAATGTCTCTCAATGAGATTACACCATTGTTTGTAACACCACTTCCACTAAACTCCATTGCGTACCAATGAGAAAATTGGACGACTGCTTTCGCTAGCAGCTTATTCTTAAGTCGAGATTGCACAATCTGATAAACGTCTTCAAAGTCTTCCATAGAAGGCACCCACACTTCAGTGAATCTGTTTCTCAACGCTGGGGAAAGTTCCTTCTTACCATAGTCACCACCAGGATTCATTGTTGCGAAAAATTGAAAATCATCAGCAGCAACTACGTGAACATCTCCGTTTCCCTTTTCTGCTAAAAGTAAACTTCTCTCTGGTTCAAGAACCGAGTTCAACCGCTCTAATACTGAATCGTCTGCTAATGAAATCTCATCTAAAAGAAAGAAATCGCCTTGTTTCATAGCGCTCACCAAGGGTCCATCAGTCCACTCAAAAAGAATAGAGCTTGAATTCAAATTTTCGTAAATTGTTGATGTCAATTCTTCAAGTCCTTCTGGTGGTACCTTGTAAGACTTGAATATTTCTATTTGTGAAGCAAGTGTCATCGTAGCCGTTGTCTCTTGAGCTTCAATGCCAATCGCTCTCATAAACCGTTCCAAGTTTTTACGCAATTCAGCTTGCAAAGCAGCTTTGTTTCTTAATGGCCTTTGACTTCCCAACAAGTCACCTGTTTCGGTGTTCTGATGAGCATTAACAATGAATAGCTTTTTTTGATAAATTTCAGCAATAACCTGACAAATGGTGGTTTTTCCACACCCAGTTTCACCAACCAACAACAATGGTTCCTTATTTTGCAAGGAGGAAAGCACCAACACAGCCAACCGGCGCATAGATTTTGTCCATACAATCAGTGTTTCGCCATTGGTCAATTTGGACAAATCAAAGTTCTGATAAAACAGGTCCATATCAAGCGTAACCTTCATTATTTTCTCAATCGTTTTTCTTACAGACTCTTTTTCTTCAGCTTTTCTTACCTTTTCAGCCAAAAGCATGTAGCCATTGATAGCCAACTCTTCATACCCAACTGCTTCTCTCATTGCCCATCTAAATAGATCCCGCAATGTTGCAAATGAGTTCTTTTGTTCAAACAATCTGGTGGATTGACGCTGCACCGTCAATTCCTTGTAAACATCAACAATCCGTTTGGCATAGCTGGGTGCAATCTGACATCTTTGTTGAAGAATAATCTCCAACTCGTCCTGTGGTATGTCATCAAAATGTAACTCCAAAAATCTATTGCGAAAGGCACGCGATAACAACTTTCGGCCACCATATAATCCTGGTGGATTTTGAGTCGCAAATAGCATAAAGTCAGGGTGTGGCTTGACCACTTCTTGCGTTTCAGGAATGAACAACTCTCTATTATCATCCAAAAGACGGTTCAAAGCCTCCAAAACGTCCGTTGGAGCAAGATTCAACTCATCTAAAACCAACCAGTAACCCATTTTTAACGCCTCCACTAAAATCCCCTCTTGAAAAACCAACTTGCCGCTAGAATCACTCACATATGTACCTAAATATTCTTGCAAATCCGTATGCTCATGGTTATTGATTCTAACAAATTTGTGTCCTGTGATGTTGGCCAAGTAGTGAATCATTGAGGTTTTACCGGCTGATGTAGGACCCTGGATTAAGACTGGAAATTTACAACCAGCTGTTGCTCTAACCAAATTCATCAAATTCTTTTCAACAAAGGGTGTGATAATGTAGTTTGGTTGTGAAACTATCTCGTTGGGTCCACGCTTCATCCAATAATGATTAAACTGCACGTATTCACCAGCTTTTGATCCAAAGGGACAGGGCGGGATCTGGCTCATAACAGAGTTTGCGTTTTTCAACTTTCCAATTGTATATTTTATAATCTCCGGTTTCAATACTTGCTCTGATTTGGCATCTAACAATGTTAAAAAAGTCATGGAAAATCCTTCGTATAGGGATCTCCGAAGCCCGTAGATGGGGACTATGTCACATACATAAGTCAATGTTCTCGTCAAAGTACGAATACTAAAGTGTGGTCTTTGATTAGCCCCATCAACAATCTTGTTCTGCTCAGATAAGGCTTTAGCTCGTGTATAGAGCTCGGCAATGTCATGTATAACCAATTCATCGTTGCCACCATTGCCACCTCCACCGCCTATTGCATATCTACCGATATATTTATCTATTATCGTCAACAAATCTTGAAGGTCCTTGTCCGGGGAATGCACATATATTTCAGTGAATTTGGACCGGATACTAACAGGCAAGTCTCTTTTTCCAACATCGGTGGAAGGATTCATACATCCAAAAATCCGGAAATCTGCATTTGCCAATATTGGTTCCGTATCTCCTCTTTCAGCTATTAAAATTGATCTTTGTTCTAACGTCTCATTCAACAAGTCTGCAATGCTTTCTAAAGTGTCTGAGCTTGCTAAATTGATTTCATCAAGCAATAGCCAATCTCCGTTCTTTATAGCCTTGACTAATGAACCCTCAACAAAATCAAACACAAACGAGTGGTCAGATTTTAGAGATCGCATTTCAAACTCATTTAGCATGTCATGGAATTCATGCCATTTCTTCAACAAAAAAGCCTTGTTCATTGGCTTTGATTTTCTTTTCTTTCTTGGACCACCATCGTCTTCCCCTTCCCCTTCTCTTTCCTCTCCTTTTTCTTTGTCAGACTTATGATTTAATGTCTCCACCGCGAGCTTATATGCTTCCCGCCATAATCTTATTACATTTTTCCACTGACCATGGTTGAATGAACGAAACAACATCTTGCTGAATCTTTCATTTTTCTTTTGTGAAAACGTAGCCACGAAAATGGTTTCAAAAAGATCCTGAACTGGAATTGCAGATGTCTTTACATTAACAGGTTTATATCCTCCCAACAAATCGTTTGATTCGGTCTGCTGCGATACATTAATAACAACAAGTTTCTTGCCCAATATTTTTGCAAGGTGCTGTACAATAGTTGTTTTACCCGTACCGGTTTCACCAACCAACAAAATAGGTTCTGCCATGCTTATCGCAACACTTAATTGTTCCATTAAATGAAGTGCATGGTTGGTTTTTGCAAACGATGAGGATGATGATGATAATGAACCGTCTCCATTTTTTTTGATGCTTAAGCTGCCAATATTCTGCGATGGTTTGGCTATCAAGGCCCGTCCAATACGCAAATAATCACTGTTGTTAACAAACTGTGGTTTGTTTCGAGACAAGTAAAGGTTGATTCTGGAAACCGGTACTTGCAATTGCTCTCCAATTATTTTGACTAATAATTCCAAAGCTCGAGGCTCAACTATAGCACCTCCAAAACAAGAAATTGCTTCAGCAAAAATATTGTCATATGTAGTTGTTTCCAATGGTTGATCCGCTTGCGTGATTCCTTCTGCGGAAAGTAACTTCTCACACCGAGAACAAAACTTGATCAAGTCTTTTGTGGATATGGTTCGTGGCGAGCTACCTTTATTCAAAGATAAAAACGACTTCAGTTCGTAAAACTTTAGCACCACAAAGAAGCATTTCATTATGCATTCTACCAATCTAGAAAGCAACGGAAATTTTGTGATTAATATTAATTCAAGTTCATTCTCCTTTGGTGGTTCCAATCTAACAATTTTCCAAAATCGTGAACCTATCAACTCGGGCAAACCGTGGTCATCTTGCAAGAGGGAGGAGGAGGAGGAGGAGGAGGAGGAGGAGGAGGAGGAGGAGGAGTAGTAGTTGTAGCTTGTTGCCTGTTGTACTGTTGAAAATAATTGGAACCCATTTCTTGCATCAATCGTTTCTCCTCTGGACGGTATACTAAGCTGTCTTTTCTCCAACAATGTCAATAATATTGAAAGAATTTCTGTGGGCGCTTTATCGATATCTTCAATCAACACCCATTTCCCATCTTGCACGGCTGAAGTAAGCACCCCGGTATTCCACCTGAATGTTCCTGGTTTTTCCCCAGATGTGTATGTACCGAGAAGCAATTTTGCGTCGGTTTGTTCACCGAGGTGAATTTTGACAATGGAGCTATTATATGACATGTCATCTGCCAATTTATTAATCAAAAATGTTTTTCCTGTTCCAGCAGCACCAACAAGCATTATAGGGTGATTTGCTTGTATGTTCATTGCAAGCTGTTTGAGTGCATCGACTGCATGGGTGATGGGAACAAACTTGGTGTGTGATAATGAAGGAATGTCTTTTTGAATTTGTTTGCTGTTGTTGATTAATCTCGGAACCAATACACCACATATAGAGGCTACTAAGTCGGTTGACAATACCAGAGTGTCAATCACTACCTTCCTTGACTCAGCAGCAGCTACTGTAACCACAGGTAGACTCTGGAAATTGGCAATTCTTTTTGCTTCCAATAGCGCGAGAAAGTGATAGTTGAGCTCTTCTCCTTCATAATTTGACATCAACTTATTACCTATTTGATATTTCTGCAACATTTTATTTTTTGTAGCTTCAGACGCCAGAAGGTATATCGAAAGGATTTGGACTGCGAGATACTTGGAAACTTGTAAATCAGATTCAGACTGTCCACAATCCTGCTTCTTCGTCTCCAAAATGCGGTAAAGCAACTCGGGCTTGATGTAATGTGTAAATCTCTTTGAATCATACATTAACAATCGGAAATATGCTAACAAAATTTGCTCCAAATTTGAAACGTTGCTGTTGCTGTTGCTGTTGCTGTTGCTGTTGCTGTTGCTGTTAGTAAGAAGATCGTCCCAAAGTTTACTCCTTTCAAGGAAAAACTCAAAAAGGGCGAGAAACTCATGTGAAATATGAAGTAGTTTCGATAATGCTTGTAATACTATTGACCCTTGTGCATAATTATCAGTTTGCGTATCCAGCTGCTGGTTTAACTTTAACTTGATATACTCTTGTTCAAATAATGTTGGATGTTGAATCCAACGGGCAACAATTTCCAAGTAAATAGGCTTGTAGCAGTAATATGCTAATAATGGGTAGTTCAATGCAAATAATGAAAGATGATTCAAATTCTCATCAACTGAGAGATGCTCATTAAACCTGAAAAACGACTCTCTATAAATTTTCTTCTCAGGATAGTTTTCCTTGAATACTTTGTACAAGTTATCAACATGATCTAAGTCTATCTCCACCGAGGAACCACCAGCCATCATATGTCAAAAACCTCTTTTCTTATGTCAACTGAAAAGATCAAACTCTTTCAAATCATCTCATCTCATATATAGAAGAAAAAAAAAAAAAAAAAAAAAAAAAAAAGTTGCGAGATGAGATTTCGGAATAACTTATGCTACCAAATTACATAGATAGGAAGAACTCATAAATATACTCCCATTTTCTCCAAGTAAAGCCATGTCAAACGCGTGTGTGAGTAGTCAGTGTGCTCCACTATCTCGCTCTGCTCGATAGTGTTGCTGGCATACTTGGAATGTGCAAGTGTTCAAACAAGTATGTGAATGCATTAAAGTATTGGGTAAAAGAAAATGCAGGAATTGGTTGCAAACTGTTATTGTTGCAAAATTGGGGGTTCGAATTGCTGCAAATTTTTCGACGGAATCAAAAAAAAAAACAACAACAAAAACAAAGGGAGTTATGTGGTTTACAATGAGGAAGAATTCAATCAAACTTGGGGGTTAAATTGGTATTTAACTTCGTCTCCTGTGTTCGTTATTGCTTTCCCCCACAGTTTTTCTCTTATACCAATTGTGGCGAGTTAAAAAAAAAATAAAAAAAAAATATAAAAAAAAAAATAAAAAAAAAAAAATACAAAAAATAGAAAATGAAACGTTCTTAGATAACAGCAATTTTTATTTCCCCAATGTTGAGTAGCTAACTCACCATTGCAATTGAAAGATGACAAAGATGACTCAGCAATTTCTGCTCTACTTCAAATCAAAAAAGATTCAAGTAGATTTGAGCGAGAACGAAACTGGGTATTTGTTATCATCATTTGAAAAAGACTCGATTGTGAACAATACTGAATCGGTATCGTCGTCATTAGTGGACATTGTTGAGGAAATACCGTTTAGTTTACGCGCAAATAAGGTGTTGATAATTGACTCTTTGAAGTCAGGAACTGGTAGGCTGGATGATAAAGATATATCTAGATCCCTTATTGAACCTTTGTTTCAATTGTTAGAAATTGAATTCACGTTATTTAAAACCAAGACCGCTAGGTCAATAGAAGAGATTGCCAAAAGTTTAGAGCCTGTAAATACTACAGTAATATTTATCAGCGGAGATACCTCAATAACTGAATTTATAAATGGGTTGGGCAAAATTCAAGACGATTTCAAACCGGTCTCTATCTCAATATTTCCAATTCCAGCAGGCACAGGAAATAGTTTTGCCTTGTCACTAGGTTTGGCCAATCAATTATCAGCCGTCGCTCAGTTATTCAAAAGCACTCAGCTATCGCCCCTTTATCTATACAATTTAAAGCTCCCTCAAGGGTCCTACCACCTAGTCCAAAACGAAGCAAAAAATCTCATCAATTCCAACATGAGATTCATTGTGGTATTTTCCTGGGCTTTCCACGCCAGTTTAGTTGCGGATAGTGATACACCAAACCTACGCAAATACGGATTGAAAAGATTTCAAATTGCAGCACAGAATAATTTAAGTAGAGTTCAGGAGTACCAAGGCGATGTAATTATAAAAAGTGCCAGCGGAAGGGAAGAAATCATAAAAGGTCCATTTGCATATTGGTTGTTAACCCCCGCACAAAAATTTGAACCAACTTTTGAAATCTCGCCAAGAGGAAACATATTGGAAAATTGTCTATATTTGGTGGCGTTTAGAACAAAAGAAGAAGAAAGAAAAAAAGATAATAGTAGTAGTGGCACTGGCAATTATATCATGGATATCATGACAGAGGTATATGACGGAGGAAAACATATTGAAAATCCAAATGTAATCTATAAGAAAATAAATAAAGGCGATTGTGTAAATTTGTTGACCAAAAATTCAAAAGAATTACAGCAGAGGCGATTTTGTGTCGATGGTAGTATAATTGCATTACCAGAAACAAACAACCATGAAATAGAAATTCAGGTGGGCGATAATAAAGAGGAGCATGGATGGAACTTATATATAATACATTGAAGGAAAAAGAAAAAAGAAAAACACAACCACTAGTATCTATATCCGTTTTTCCCTGTAGCTTGCGGCTTTTGAGGTAAAAATCCAGTGTTGGCAGGATTGTTGTTGTTTGCGTTGAATCTTTGATTACGGTTCTGATATTGATTTTGATTCTGATTCTGATACTGGCTCTGATATTGATTTTGATTTTGATTTTGATTTTGATTCTGATACTGGCTCTGATATTGATTCTGATATTGATTCTGATATTGATTCTGATATTGATTCTGATTCTGATTCTGATAATATTGTCGATGGTTTTGTAGAAATGGTTGCTGGTATACCTGCTGGTTGGGGTGATGCACTGTGTTTCTGTAATACCCCTGTCCCGACTGCGGTTGCATTTGCTGATACTGGTTTCGACTATTAGGTGGCAATGTTTGTGACTTGTTATCAACTCCATCTCTTATCATCTGCACATAGGATCTATATCCACCTCTTCGCATACTATATGTCTTGAAAATCTCTCTACCAGCAGGTCCGTTATTGACATAGTCATTAGATCGGAAGCCGAAATTGTTGTTGTTACTACCATTATAATAATTTCCCAGTCCTCTGCCGTAATCGTTGGAACTTGATTTATAAATAATATCGTTTTTATCTGCAACAGTCAACACTTTGTTTGCCGATATGTATCCCGTTAGAAGCATCGACTTTCCCTTTTTCTTTTCTGGAAAATGATACTCTACTTGTAAGTACTCCTTTTTGCTAATATCAGGCATATTGCCCTCTTTGAGCGGATAATTCAATACTCCCATTGGCTCAAACCCTTCGAGTTTAATTGCGACACCACCTAAACCACTTTTCGCACAGTTGAAAACAATCTTAGTCTCCAGCTGTTCGAAAAAGGCTTCAATAAACCTTTTGTAATTCTTATTGTGATTTGAAATAAAAAGTTCCGCTTCCTTGTTGATATTTCTGTTTGACTCGTATTCTGTTAATTCTCCATACTTTCCCTGAACTGCGGTTAATAATCTCTCTTCGTCAATAAACGGCAATAGCGGAATACCTTGCCAGCTCATCTTTTTCCCATTCATATCAATTTCAAACTCCTCTGGGTAAAAATCAATAACCTCACTATCTGGATCTTTCATCAAGCCATGAAACACTTCGGGTAAAGCGTGGCATGATGCAGCTGGCAACACAGACATCAATTGTTCATAGGGCCTAAAAGGTTTTCCAAGCTCAAATTTAATGCCATCTGGAAATAATTCTTTCAAGTTTGTCATGTCAGAAGCAAAAGGCGCATAATGATACGGATAGAACCATGTCCAAGAGGGACAACCTTGATAGTAGTACAAAGCAACCCATGATATCCCTTCGATATAGTGCTTCACCACTTTCCTCCTCATTTCCTCAATCTCGCCCTCGTTCTTGCAATGGAACTTTACCTCATAATATCTGTTTTGATACCCCGGCTCATGCAATCTAATATCGTTATTCACAAGTTCAGGTTCAGATTCAGATTTAGATTCAGGTACAGGTACAGGTACAGGTACAGGTTCAGGTTCCTCCTCATCTGGTAATTTCCTTTTTCTTTTTTCCTCAGTTATATCTTCCAGATCAGTGTTTATAGCAGAAGTGCCCGCGGAAGTCTCGCCATTAGTACCGTCCTCTTGGAACTGTTCCTTTTTCTTTTTAGAGTCGATTAATTTTTTCAAAGCAGCAGCAGCATTAGTATTTGACATTCCTGCCATAGTAAGAGTATCTCTATGATGGACTATATCCTTGTTAGACAAAGGTGCATAGTTGTCAACAATGTTTCCGCTGGTATCCATTAAAGGCAAATTTACATCTGCTTTCATAGGCGCCTTGTCTTTTCCCTTGGAAACTTGGGACAAGTAAACGTTTTTCAATGCTTTGTCCTGTTCTTCGGCCAATTTCCGCCTCTTGCGACTTTCTTCTCTCCTTTGTTCTATTCTAAATCTATTTTGGAAAATCTCATCCTCCTTGACGGCCAAATCAGCCAACAATATTTCAACACTTTCCAAGTTTAGCATCCCATCACAAGTTACATAGTCGCGTAATTTAGAAAGACATCTTTTCCAACTATTAACCAAAGTGTCAATAGCATTATCTCTCACGTCTAAGCTCGGTAAATGGGGCAAGAAATCATTTCCTGCAAAGAAACAAATGAAAACCCAATCGTCGATAGCACGTTCCAAGTCGAATGGAAACGAAATTTGCGGGCTCTGTAGTTCCACAGCCAAGTACTCTTTTAGCACATTAACATGCAACCACAAAAATGGCTTTTTATTTTCCCTTTCTTCTTTTGCTTCTTCTTCTTCTTCTTTGGTACCCTTATCTTTTCTGCTGGTGCTGCTTGATGCAGCAATATGGTCAGAAATGGTCATGCGCTTCTCTTGATTTGCAAAGACATCCTCTCTCAATACCCTAAAGTGCGGTTCATGAGTTGCCAACCCCAAAAAGATCAAATCTGCATCCAACCCATATATACAGTGCCTCGTGTTTGGATTATACAGAGCATCTGACCGTTGAGATCGTATAAAGTTCATCAATTTATGTTCTCCTTCTCCCGGGACCGTTGCGTCACTTATGATAACTTGCAAATTGGCCCAACCAGGGTCGTTTGCCAATTTATATGCAATCCAGTACCTCAACGCTTCGGCTAACCGGTCCATAAAAGGTGTACCTGGTGTAATTGCATTTGAATCCCACAGTTTTTTCCCCTTTATAGCGTCATTTATTATTTCACCACGAGCTTCCTTTTCCATAATTTCCTTCTCAATAGCCATATCCTTAATCTTTGCATCCTGAGCCGACCTGAATCTCCTTGCTCTCTGCTGATTCATCTTAGCTCTAGGTGCAACACCATCAACGGCAATCATCAAAACCTTCCTTGGGCGCGCCATCATCAAAACTCTATCCGTATAAGCAAAGATATCCAAGAACATCTCATCTTCCGTCTCTGGTGCCTTTTTATGCTCAGGATGAGAACATGGGTGAACAATACCGTTCATATCCAAGTAAAGATTATCAACCTCGCCATTTGGATTAGCATCTTCATATCTAGCACCAGCACCACCAATACCAATCTCTTGGTCATCAGCTTCTACCACAGGTGATATGATCTTAGGATACTTCCGAGATAACCATCGAAAAAGTGCCGGAACCCCCATAACGTCCTAAAGATCTACCTCCTTTCCGCCAACTCTACCGTTTTACTCCCTTCTTTTATACTATATAAAGGCATCTTCACATCTCGTTCAGCCGTTTTTTTTTTTTCCGGGTAAGAGTCGTGTACTCGAGGCGAGATGCCACATATGGTAGCACCAAAGAGAAAAAATGTCAAAAATTGATAAATTCAACCAACAGGAGGAAGGAGGATGGAGGGATCTTTGATATTGAACTTGTTCATCTTCTATATTTGAAAGGTAGGATAAGAGACAAGGTAGGAAAGCCGATATAGTTATTTTTTTGCTGTTTTACGGATAGGTTTTTTTGCTCAACGGATAGGTTTTTTGCTTAACGGATAGGTTTTTTTGTTATTTTACCGATAGGGTTTCTCTTTATATATTACGGTAGGAGCAGATATCGAAAGATGGGTGTTTTAGAGATTGAGAGCGAACACCAATTTACTGAGTTAACGCAAGCAAATGATTCCAAATTATTAGCATTATATTTCCATACACCTTGGGCTGGCCCTTGTAAGACCATGAACCAAGTGTTTAGAACTTTGGCGGACTCAAAGGCAAATGATCCGTCTATAACATTTCTTTCAATCAATGCCGACGAGTTGTCTGAGATTAGTGAATTATTCGATGTTAGTGCCGTTCCATATTTCATCTTGATTCGCAATCAGACAATTTTGAAGGAATTATCAGGAGCAGACCCAAAAGAGTTTATTGCTGCTTTGAACCAGTTTGCTGGAGAATCGTCAAAAAATGCTATTCCAGCCACAGTTTCCACAACAACAACAACAACAGCTGAAAAATCTCCCCTGGCATCTGAACCAGTACAAGAGTCAGAAGAAGCATTAAATGAAAGATTGCATAAGCTCACAACTGCAGCCCCAATTATGCTATTTATGAAAGGTTCTCCATCAAGCCCTCAATGCGGGTTCTCGCGACAATTGGTAGCCATATTGAGAGAACACCAAGTAAGGTTTGGCTTTTTTGATATCTTGAAAGATGACTCTGTAAGACAAGGATTGAAGAAATTCAGCGATTGGCCAACATTCCCGCAATTATACATCAATGGGGAATTTCAAGGCGGGTTGGATATTATAAAGGAAAATATAGAGGAAGACGAGCATTTTTTTGAAAATGCCGTAAATGCTACTGCTGCTGCTTGATTGTTTATCCAAGGTGTATAATATTTATAGGTTAATAATACAGAAAGAGAAACAAGAAACAAGAAACAAGGAAATTTTTAATACTATAGTTTACCCTGAGATATTAGAAGATCGATCTCATCATCATCAGAGAAACCCGCGTCTGATGATGATGATGATGATTGTGAAAAATCCGCATTGGTTTGAGAGCTATCCTCAATGGGGTCACTCAGTATATTCTCATCGTCAAGATCATTGTCAAAATCAACATTATTTCTTCCACGAGCTTGTTCCTCAATTGCTGTGTCTATATCATTTTGGAATTGGTCATAAGCATAAAGTGTAGTGCGCTCTTCAGCAACAAAATTTTCATCCGCATATAGCTCCTGAAACTTGCCGCCTAGTCGATTATATCGAAGACGATGTGTTTTTCCTCTTTTGTTCAAAATCAACGGCAAATAATAACCATCGATTAGATTTAGTGTCTGAAACGACGATTCGGGTGACAAGTATTTTCTATATTGATCAACTTGGTTATATATGTTGCTTCTCATTCTCAACATTTTAAAATGTCGGGGAAACTTCATTTTCAATTTACTAGTTGCACCATCTTTACTTGCTTTTTCTGCTTTACTCAAATTCACTCTAGTTGAACGCGCTCCAATTTCCCCTATTGGACAAATATCACTAATACTCAAATCATTGCAGATTGAACTAGCAACGCTTAACAGGAATTGTGAATTTCGAAAGATGTGGTAATTTTCCAATAAGCCCAAGTTTAATAATGCTGTGTTTTTCTCAGGATACAGTTCAATTACTTTAGCAATGGAATTTGAATTAACCATATTGCCACTCTCGCCTTCAAACTCTTTACTCGAAAAGATTATCTTCCCTAGTGCATGAAAGATGCTCAACGAGTTTTCCCGCGCATACACCTTAGATGTTTCTTTGTGAAACCTAGCCCACATTTCCAAATTGGATATAATTGATCTGATATCGCCTACTTTATATAAATCTGCGAGATAAGTTTCAAAAGATCTATCATTCAACAAACCAACCATACCTTCTCTCTTCAAAATCGGCCTTATTGTTTTGTTTAAAAAACGAGGTGCTAAAGAATTAAACTTTATAACTTCGACTTTCGAACTCTTGAAAATTTCCTGGCTGAGCAAAGTTTCCACGGTCATATTGTTTTCGAGACTGTATCTTGCTCTTTCATTGTCTTTATCGTTTCCTTCATATTCAAACTCGCTCAAACACAAGACTAATGGCGCAAATGTGTTCTCGCTGTAGATCCAGTGTCGTAGCGCTTCCCTAAACTCCATCAAGGTCTCTTGGTGATATACGTTTGGAAGCTCTTCAATAAGAATAACGCTGTTCGTTTTGTACTTGCAACTTTGTAAAAAAATAGAAATTCGCTCAGACTCTTGATACTCTATAACTTGATCTTCGTCATTGAAAATGTCACCATCACTAATCATCTCACGAGCCAAAACCTTAACAGTTGTGGACTTACTCGACCCACATGGCCCAGCAAGAACAAGTAATTTGGTACTCAGCTGTTTTCTCATCATCTTCTGTAGCGAGTCTTTGACCTGCTTCAATTTGGTGGGATTTATGCATATTTCAAACGCGTTTTTCGGTGCATACTTATCCAACCATTGGTGATTAGATTCACTAAATTTTTGAGGACTGGGGTGAACCAGGAACCGACCCTCATGATCACTATCGGATGACGTATCCACACTTTCAAATGATGACTCAATAACTCTACATCTCTTCCTTCGTGGTGGCATAAGTTCGTCAATAATGATGATGAAAAGAAAGAATAAAAGTAAAAGCTTGAATTTAAAGAAAGAAAAGAAAAAAATGAAAAATTAAAACATCTCTTTAACGCTTGCTCTTGAAATAAAATTGCAAAAGAAGCAAGAGCGTAGGCTTTCGATACTATTTAGTGACAAGTGATTCTCTCCTCTTACACAGCTTTCTAGTTACAGCTTTATGGCTTGCGATTGAGTTGACTTGAACTTCTTCCATAATTGGCCTACGTTGATATCGACAGCATCGGAAATACATTTGCATTTTTCCGTTGATTTTGCAAACTCAAACCATGTATCGAGAGCAAAATTGACTGATTCTGCTAGATTATAGTCATAATTGAAGCCGGCATGGTATCCGTAAGGGTAAGTTATTATAAACTCACCCTCTCTATGGATTGTGTGGTTCACTGTAATTCCCTTTTTTGCCAAAAATTGCGGCAGAGCTATGAATGTCTTGTGTCTTAGAAACTGTGAGCAATTCTTGTACTCGTCAGCAAACAAATCCTTCATTAAACTAAAAAATTTTTTATTCTCCGATTGTGGAATCAGGTACCATTGTTTCGGAGCACCAAAATGTAGATAATTGATCAGGTATAGGTCTTGATCTTCCAAATGCCATGCAAATGTTGCTTTCCAAGTTCCGGCATACAAATAAGCATTGTTGACACCGGGGATCTCCTCTTCCATCAAATCCAAGATATTCGGTAGTTTTGCTACATTCCAGCTTTTTATATCCTCAGTGAAAAGCGATCCCAAAGTATCAGCTCCATAAATGGGTTCGGCATAAGTTAGCGACTTCCAATAAGCGCGCTCTAAATCTTTGCACTTTTCATCAGTATATATTGAAGTATCAATATTGTATTCTGGAACACAAGATTTTTCTTCCGCCCCCTTTTCGTTAGATTGTCTTCTTTTCCTCTTCTTTGGCGGTTGATAACTCTTGGACAATTCTTTCCACTGCTCTAGACTATACTTTCTAGGTCGCTCAACATTCTGCAGCTGGAAAACACCATGCCCATCATGGTTGATTCGTTGTACTATAGGGTTCCTGATAGATACCTTGGCCAAATTTTCCTTTGTGTAACAACAATTGCTCAATTTCTCAGACCACTCTTTGGGGGGGATTATTCTTACTATCCCTGCTTGCAAACCATACTTATCTATGGCCTTGTTAAATAAGTAAAAGTCCTGAAATTGTGATATACTTGGCTTAAATACCGGCACGCCATTATCGTAAAAGGAAGGCTCCATTGGCTCTATCTCTTCTGAACATAGCACCGAGCTATGCAATTCCGTATACATACTCAGCACCTAAAAGCTTCACAATGTATATCTACTTCCAGCACCTAAGAGCTTCACAATGTATATCTCCTTTTTTCCAGCACCTAAGAGCTTCACAATGTATATCTACTTCCAGCACCTAAGAGCTTCACAATGTATATCTCCTTCTTTCCTTTCTTTCCTTTCTTTCTTTCTTTCTTTTCCTTTATTTTTTTTTTCTGCTTCTACCGAATCAAGTTTTTCACCAAGTGCTAAAAAAAAAAAATAGAACGACAAGGGAATTCAGGGTTCATCATTTCTAGGTCATTTTTCACCCCCCCCCTTTGAAGCTAGGAGTTAGGTTAATTTAAAAAGATAGTTATATTACCTCAGGTGATGTCGCATTCAACTAGTAAAAAAATCCCATCAAAACAAGATAATTTTTCAAAATCGCGGGTTTTCAATGCGTCTATAATAACGTTTCTTACAATAGTTCTTGTACTTGAATTGAGCTATCACTTTATATGGAGTATGAAAGTTCTTTTATACCAACCATATGGAAGTTTGTTGAATAACTTAATTTATGGTATTGGTACATTCTTGGCTAATCTTGGACTTAGCACGAGGTTGATTAGATACTTGAATAACGAGTTGGTTGAAAAAAAGCTAGACGCTGATTATAAGAAATATATATAACACAACCCCACCCCTTGCAACTCTATCGCCGTTCAGTCTAACACAGTAGTGGTGAAAAGAAGATAGCATATCCACCTGGGTTCGATTTAGGATTTTAGCCATTATTGCATCCTTACTCATCACAAGATTTTTGTTCATTTTGTTTTATAGATTCTTTGCTAGATACATTTCAATTTCTCCGCGCTGACCAAATTGACTGTAGAATACCCATTAAAAAACTCCTTGCTGTTTTCATCATTCCATTTGTTGATAACAATCAACTGCTTCAAGTTTCTACTACTCACCTGTGCGTCATTTTCAATGAATTCCTCATCATCTTCGTCCGGTAATAAAGCTTCATCATCGTCCTCGTCTTCATCGTCGATATCGTCTCCTTCCTTGTCTTCTTCATTCCACTCTAAATCTGAGTCATAATCATAGTTGAATGCTGTAGTGGACACGTCCAAGGGATTTCTTAGTATATTCTTAAGTTGACTCTGGTGCTTGGTAGAGTTCCATGTTCCCACATAGGGAGGCTTTGAGTTTTCGTAAAATCTAATGTACTTAATACTAGGAAGCTCGTCTATCATTTTGTAAATCTGCACTTCTGTGGTTGTCAGCATATTGAGTGCCGTTAATATTGACTCGGGAGTAACAACTATGGGGGCTTCTTCAACTGACAGCAGCAAAGTGTACTTGTCTTTCAAAAAGGAACCAAAATCAACTTGGTCAATAGAAGAAGAACTCAGTAGTATCTGATCAAGTGTTTGAATCGATTGCGGTGTCGCCAAAACTGTATCTTTCAATATAACATTTTTCTGAACAAAAAACGGTAGAAATACAGATTCATAATCAGTCTTGGCAATAGTTTCAGTTTTCATTTGAGTTGCAGTGGTATCCATTGCCTTTTTCAGCAGACCTACATGGAAGAAATTTGAAATTTTCAACTGACAGCGCTCTTTTGCTTCCTCTGCTTTTCGTTTCTCTTCCTCCAATCGCTCCTTTTCACGTTCCTTTGCCCTTTTATCATCTTCAATTTTCTGTTTCCTTTCAAGCCTCTCTTTTTCTCTTTCTTCTCGTTTCCTCTCTTTTTCCATTTGTTCAGCTTGCTTCTTTCTTTCTCTCTCTAATTGTTCAGCTTGCTTCTTTCTTTCCCTTTCTTCTTGTTCAATTTGCTTCTTTCTTTCCCTTTCTTCTTGCTCAATTTGTTTCTTCTTCTCTCTCTCTAGTCTCTCAAGCTCCTTCTTCTTTTCTCTTTGTAGTTTTTCCTCTTGTTTCTTCTTTTCCCTTTGTCGCTTCTCTTCTTCTAATCTTTTTCGTTTCAATTCCCTCTCTTCCTCTAGTTTCCGCTTTTTAGCTTCTTTCTCCTCCCTCTCCTCTTCTTGTTTCCTCTTCTTTGTTTCCTTTTCTTCTTCTAGCTTTCTTTTTTTGGCAATCTTTTCAGCTTCTTTTTGACGAATTTCTTCTTGCTTCTTTTTTGACTTGTCATCTACATCAGTACTTTTTACTGACGGATCATCTACATCAGTACTTTTCACTGACATATCATCTCCCCCAGAACTCTTCACTGACATATCATCTCCCCCAGAACTCTTCACTGACGGATCATCTCCACCAGGACTATTCACCGACTGTTGTTTAACTTCATTAACATCAACATCAATCTTACTTATCTTCTGCGTCATTTCACTATTCTGCGTTGACGAATAGACACAACTTTGGTTGTCTTTAAACTGAGACATCTGAACACTAGTCATTCTCAAAAGAATTACAACAATTGCCCAAAAAACGTAAGGCCCTGAGTAAGTGCTACTGTCAATTAAAAGTCTTTCAAACCAGTAAAGCCATATACAAACTCGAAACTTTTCAAAATATAAAACGCGTATAGTGAAAAAAATAAAAATGAAAAAGATTGATACCAACCCTAGCGAGCGAAGCGAGCTAGTGGAGAGAGACTAGACGAGTGAAGCGAGCTAGTGGAGAGAGACTAGACGAGTGAAACGAGTCTAGTCGATAGTAGATAGACTATATCTATCGAGTAGTACTCAGTAGACACTATCGAGTAGCACTTAACAGCTATACCGACACTATCGAGCAGATGGAGCAGATCGAGCAGAGTGAGATGGTGGAGCATCACTTAATTGCTTGTTTCAACAGTAATTATCCCATACTCTAATATATAATCGGTGCTCTGATTCAATGCCATACTCGTATTTAAACATTAATCTGATAGAGTCTAATATATAATCGGTGCTCGAATTTATTGCCATACTCTAATATATATATATATATATATATATACTCTATTATTATTGATAGTTTGGAATATCCAAATGGAAAAATGGGGTATTAGTACCAACAGCGGCAAGGTACTGCTCATCAATACCACCTTCTAGATCATCGTAACCAGTAGCTATGTCTACATAGTTGTTACTTGATGTTAACCCATCTTCATATGTACCAAACCCGGCATTTAGTAATCCTCTTCTAATCCACGGGCTCAAAATTCCCGAAAAATGGAATTCAACTTCGCGATCAGCATATGCATTCAAAGCTTTTCTCAAATCAACCAAGGCCTGAATTGAGGTAACGTCAATTTGTGAAACCGTCGAGAAATCAAAATGTATAATACGTAGAATAGGACGAGTGTCCTCCTCGTGTTTTTCAGCAACATTGTACTTTCTCAAAAATGGCAAGTTCCACTTTAGAGGACCTGGATCATTCCATGGCCTAGATCCAGTATCAGTTGCGCTATATGGTTTTGCTCTTTTGGTCAATCTTTTGGCTTCATCGGACACTCGATCAATTTGCCGCGAGGCATTTGGATATGTAAATGATTCAAGCGGTTTGAAAACCAAAACTCCCGGAGGAGGTGGAGTCACATTCAATCCTTTATTTATATTCTTCTTGTTTAACGGTACCCATCGAGTATGGAACCTGATTTGCGGATTAGCTCTTTTCAATGCAAATGTAGTCGTTTTATCCTGTACATTATCATTCTTGTTGTCTTTTGTCTTGGTCTCTTCGGTTGCTCTATAATTAGAACCCCTTGATAATATCTGGTGGATTTCTATATCTGAAGAGTCACTGGAATCCAACCCAGTAAAATCGTCACCGTCTATTGAACTACTGCTTTGTTCAATAATTGGGTTGATAATTTCAGCAACTTGCACTTTCCCCAAGAAAAGCCCATTTGGAAGAGCAATTCTCCACAACAAGACAACGAGTGAGGCGGCAATAGCAAAGTAAATACCAGCTTCAATGGTAACAAAAACAGTCAATATAACTCCAATCAAAAATATACCACAATCAATGGGGCTGATTTTCCAAAAAGACCACGTGACTTTATAATTAGCCATAAGATCAGAAACTGCGTGAATAATAACTGCTGATAAAACTGCTTTTGGGATATAATAGAAGCTTGAAGTTAATGCGTATAATGCCAATAAGACAACGCAACCGGTAAAGATACCAGCCAATGGGGTACGAACACCACACTTGGCCTTCAAAGCCGATCTTGAAAATGAACCAGTTGCTGGGTATGCATTGAAAAAAGTTCCAATCAAATTATTAACACCAATAGCAATGACTTCCTGATCTGGAACAACCTTATAGTCGTTGACTCTACCAAAAGATTTGGAAATAGCAATGTGTTCCAATAATAAGATAACAGTAGAAACTGGAATTTCAGAGGCCATAGCACCAAGAATGCCATCGGGAATAGTCATAACACCAACATGTCTTAATCCGCTTGGAACGTCTCCAATAGTACTAAATGGTGGCTTAAACTTATTCTTGGGACCTTCAAATGCAATTTTTTTGGGGTGAACAATTCCCCATGAGATGGCCGTGGCAACAATGATAACAACAGCATTTCTCAATTGTTGGAAATAAAAAAAATACATCTTGTATCTTGGCCACCTTTTTTGAGCCCATTCAGTACCAAATTTCCAAAGGTACAAAATAAATAAGGAAACTAACCCAAAAGCAGCATCAACTTTTGTATGTGGCAAATTCTTTAAAGTATTTATAATGACATGATAAGTTGCATCTCTGGTATTAACCTTACTGTTGTATCCCATCAATGCAGGGACTTGACCAGAAATAATGTTAAAGGCAGAACCCGTCATAAAGCCCATAACAGCAGGGATTGAAATAAATTCCAAAATAAAACCCAATCTCAAAATACCAATACCAGTAGCGATACCACCACAAATCAAGGCCAAGAATGTAGCAATTTCAGCGGGAGCGTACTGATCACCGTATTTGCTTTGAACATGGGCAACAACTTTACCAACTTGCAAGGACATAACAGCAACAGGACCAATAGAAACATCTTTACTTGTAGCGAAAAACGAGTAAATGAAAACACCAACAAACGAAGAGTATAATCCATATTGCGGTTCCAAACCAGCCAATTGGGCATACGACATTGATTGAGGAACCAAGACGACACCAACAGTGATACCTGCCACCAAGTCACCATAAAGCCATTTATAATTGTAATGTAAAATCCACGAAGCAATAGGGAAAAGAGAAATCAAGTAATGCTTGATAAATTGTAATGGGTTTGCAAACACATATTGGAACCATTCTTTAACAGTAACTTCCTTTTCATCGTAAGCTGGAACATAATAGTTTGAGTTGATATTGTGGGCACTTTCTACATCTTTCAGCTCTCCAGAGTGAAACTCGTGCGACCGCCTTGGTGGGTGTTGTTGTTCGTGTTCATGTTCATGTTCGTGTTCCTCAAAATCGGGATACAAATGCGGTATTGTTGACTGAGGCCCACTCTGAGATGTTATTGATTGCACCTTATGAATGAACTCACTCATTTTCAATGATGATATGTAAGTTATTTAAACTGAGGTGGGGAAGGGGGTGGGAAGGGTAGAAAACCTATTCACTTTTTATATGAAATATGCTAGATGCAACTAAATAGATGGGAAGTGAAGCTTGATACAAGATGAGCAAGGGAGAAGAGCCGCCTTTTCTTCTATTGTCTCAAATAAATTGCAAACTGCAACGAATGCTTTTTATACGGTGAACGCCTTATACTTAACAACTGATGCAGACTGAACAATAAGAAAATGAACAAGTTGACAACAGGAGTAACAGCTCACAGTAGTAGCAGACCACAGTAATAGCAGCACTACGTTTTGAATGAAGAAAAGAAAAGACCAATACTTTTCAAAAAATTGTGGTTTTGAAATTTTCCAATTTTTTTAAATTTTTTTTTAATAAAAAAGAAAAAAGTATCAGTGAAATGCCTTAAAAAACAGAATAAAAATAAGGTTATCCTATTCAATTGCCTTTTGACTCTTGATACAATTCAGCTTCTGTAGAAGCTTGGGGAAAAAAAAGGGGCTATTATCTGGTGATTTTTGAAGGTGGAATTTTTCTTTTGCTGGTATAGATTTCTAATTGATGCGAAAAGAAGCTTATTCTGAAATTTTTAAAGATGGTTTTTATAGTCATGAGACTTGTACCCCCCTGCCGAAATCTTACTTTTTAGGTTTCACTAATGCTTAACAACTATACACCATATACACTGAACAATAATCTTCAAGATCCTACCATCGTAAACCCACTCGATGTCGTCATCTTTATCTGGCTTAAAAAGGTGTGGCAGTTGATGATCTAATTGCTGCGAAAAAAGTAAAATTTCAATTTAGCTCACAATTGTGAGAAGTCACGTGAACTTTGATATAATTTTAATTGCCCATTTAGTTTCTTTTTAGGGAATAGATAAAAATAATAATAATAATAAGAAGAAGAAGAAGAAGAAGATTGCAATTGGCAATAGGCAAAAAAAAGCGGTTACCAAGATTTACGGTATAAATTGTGGAGCTTCCAAACACTATGTGTATCATTGTTGTTGAGTGCTTTTGTTGAAACGAGCCTCCCCTCCCCTTGCATCACTTTGTTTTTACTTTTCCAGATTTCATGTATTAACTAATGTAAGGAGAAACTTTCTTGTTTTGCGAAATTGCCTTAAATGGAAAATTGCTTCATCTGTTGTTCAGATCTGAAGTATACGTGAATTTGGTTACATCTTGAAGCATAGTCGTTTCCAATCTGCTTTTTTATTTCGAAACTCAATGGCTGCAAAAAAGTTGCTCGTGTTCCTGTATATAAACCACTATCTGAGCGAAGCGAGATAGTGGAGGCAGCACTGACTACATATCTCGGAAAATCAAACTCAAACTTTTTTTTTCTTGTCTCATTTGGATCACGTGATATGACAAATAACACTATCCTATCGAGCAATCCTATTGAGCAATCCTATCGAGCGAAGCGAGATAGTGGAGCAATCCTACCTCTGATTGACGCTAGAGGCTTGATATAGTGGAGCACACATCTGATTAACTACCTCTGATCAGCACTAAAAACTTGATATAGTGGAGCACACATCTGATTAACTACCTCTGATCAACACTAAAAACTTGATATAGTGAGAGCACACTCTGTTGTAACTCTCCAACTTACAACTACTCCTTATCTCTATCCCTTATCTACAACTTACAACTGCTTCTTGCATTTACTCCTTGCATCTACCCCTTATCTTTACTCCTTACATCTTCTACTTACTTTTTATTCCTACACCTTTTTTGTACTCTTGAAGTCTCGTGACTTTTCTTTTATTTATTTTTTTTTTGCTAGAAAAAGAGCTAAAGTTTCTGATACATTCTTGATCTTTCTCTCTAAGTGTTTGCATCATCTCTAAGCGTTTGTATTCTCCCTATGAGCTTGCATTTTCAGCTTCAATCTCATCAGTCATCTCCCGGTATCTCTGTTGATTAAAACACTGCTCTAAAAAGATTTTATACTTCACATTCAACAATTTTCTATCCTGGTCATCTTTCGAGGTGGGATTAACAACTTTACCTGGACCAGTCATTTGCAGCATGATCTTCCATAATAATGCACCAGAGCTTTCTTCCGCCTCTTGCTTCTTAATAGATGACAATGGTTTTATATTCATTCTTGCCAATTTTTGAGACAAGTCCTTTTGTGTCTCTTGCTTGGGGCCAAACGATAAAGACCCTTCCTCGTCTGATTCATTGTCGCTTTTGGATTGAGAAGAATCCGCTTCTGGTATACTTGGCGGTTGTTGCACAGGCTGGTTGAAGTAATCAATCTCCTTGTTATCGTCAAGTGAAGTCATACTCAAACCTGGATTAACATTGGGGTACGAAAACGTAACCAAGTTGGTGGACGACGTTGCGGTTGGTGCAGTATATGGCGAAGGTGGTGGTATATCACCACCTCTTGATTGCATCTTTTGTAAATTAGCTTGTGATTTTTTCAATGCTTTGGATCTAGCACTATTTATTCTATCTTCGCAATATTCTTCAACTGCTTTAACGGAAGCAACTGCTCCCAATATTGCTGAACCAAAAACAACTGCAGCATCAATATATCTGGGAATGACAACGGGCAAACCAGTACAGTCAGCTAGCAATCTCATCAACAACCCGTTACGACATTGTCCTCCGCTCATAAAGATACACATAATCTTATGCCCACCGTCTTCCATATGCTCAACAATCTGTCTTGTTTGTTGAGCAATAAACTCACATGCTCCAAAATAGTTGATAGCCAAATCATCTAATGAATTGTCTAAAGATTGTCCGATAATATTCGCCTTCATTCTTGGATCTGCAATTGGGGATCGGTTACCATGAAAGTCACCATAGAAATACATGTGCTTAGCAAGTGACACAACAGATCTTTCATTTTTATCCTTCACCATTTGTTCTAATCTGGCATTTAAATAATCGAATTTGGAAATATTCGATTGATCTGCAGCTCTTAGCAATTCCTGATTGGCAGGGTGGATACTCAAGACGTGTGCCAACAATTGACCTGTTATGGATTGGCCACCTTCGGCCAACCAGTATCCTTTAGCCATAACATCCTTATAAGGACCCCAAACCCCCTCAACAAAGCAAGGCTCCTTGGTCATTGCAATGTGACAAGTTGATGTACCGGCAACGGAAGCTAACCTACCACAAGCGTCTCCAATAGAACCTTCAATGTTTTCTTCAAGTAGTGCTGGAACATCTGCTTTAGCGGCAACTGTGCCTACCCAACCTGCGTAAGCATCAATAACTGGCGAACCAACAATACAGTCAACAGTTAACCCCAACTCACTAGCCGATTTCTCGGTCAACGTTCCAACTTTTTCACCTGCAGTCAAGTATGTGCCATTTACCCCGGGGGTACCACCCAATCTCCTAAAGTTATCTTCAGTTAGTTCAGGCATATCAATTGATAGTAAAAATGGCTCAGACCAACCAGTTTTAGAACCTTCGACTCCTAAAGGAACGAATCCTTGCTTACAAACTACTGAGCAGTAGGATCTAGTTTCTTTACCGGATGCCTTGTGGACCAAATAATCCGCCAAGTCGTAGAATTTACAATCCTTGATCCCCCCAGGCTTGTGATGTTTCAACCACTTCATCTTGGGTAACTCCATCTCTATTGACATTTGTCCACCAACATATTTAAGACACTTATCGTTTGTAGCATTGATCTCGTTGGTTTCCTTTTCTGCTCTGTGGTCCATCCAGAGAATAATATTCTCCGAGGCATTTTCCCAATCGGGTCCTACTGACTCCGGTTCGTCAGTTGATTCCGATACCGCAACTAAGGAACAAGTTGCATCAAATCCTATACCAAACACATGTGACGGATCAACTCCGGATTCTCTCAAACAATGCTTAACGCAGAAACATATAGCATCCCAAATTTCAGTTGAATTTTGCGTAATGTAATTTAATTTTAACTCATGTCTTGAGATTGGTTTTTCGGCTAAGCCCAAGATAAAACCATTTGTATCTATCAAACATGCTCTTGCGGAACCGGTACCAACATCAACACCGATGTAAAAAACATCTGGTTCTGCTGGAGGCAATTGGTTAAAAAAGGATGATTGTCTTTTATTCGAGAGACTGGTATTTGATCTAAGTGCCACCATTATTGTTATAAAAGGCTAAAGAGAGAGGAAAAGAAAAGAAAAGAGAAAGAAAAAGAATAGAATAAGGGGATGTTGAATAGATTTTTTTTTGAAAAAAAAGTAATATAACAAAGAAGAAAGTGTTGATGTATTAGTTGTAAAGGTATATCGAGAAAGAAAGAGTTACAATAAAGGTGAAATAGCAAAGTTTGACGATTAGTGCATACAAATCATGACAAGAGGAAAGAGAAAAAAAAGGGGTCTCTTGCAGCGAAAACTCCAGGAAAAGATGGAGTTAGTGCATAAGAGGAAAAGATGGAGTTAGTACATAAGAGGAAAAGATGGAGTTAGTGCATAAGAGGAAAAGAACAAGGCCAAAAAGACACAACAGGATTGAAAAGAACTGGGTTTTTTCAAATCTTCCGATTGGTCCAGAAAGGGGTGTGTGTGGGGGGGGGGGGGTGCCGAATGGAATAAAAGTTGGCCCATGTAGCTTTTTTAATAGCAACCTTTTTTGCAGGTGAGCTTTGAAATACCTTTGACGTATTTTTTTCTCATACATCAAATATATAGGTCTATCGCTTATCTTAAGCGCTTTTTATTTTTTTTTCCTTGATTCAGAATTTGTATCTATTGAACTGGACCTTTTTCTTTCCTCTAGACGAGACTATCAAGTAGAGCGAGATAGAGAGATGGTCTGAAGGAGAGAGAGAAGAGATAGACTATCGAGCAGAGCGAGTTAGTCTAGAGGAGAGTAGATAGATCCTAATTGCCAGAATGCCATTTAAAGCTAGTCTTTTGTACCATTTGGCACTCGCTCTGCTCACTAGTGTCACTAATGTCACTAGTCAGTGGCACTCCACTATCTCGCTTCGCTCGATAGTGTCACTAATCAGTGGCGCTCTACTATCTCGCTTCGCTCGATAGTAGAACAAGATAGTAAGAAATAAACGAAAAGCATTAAAATCATGAAAAAATGCCACAAAGTAATAACTAGATCAATTTCTTTACAGTTTTATAGTCCTTAATTTTCTAAACTAAAACTTGTCTCGTTTAACTCATCGATTTAATTAACAAGTGAGTTTCGTATATTAGACTAACTTATGTTTACACTATCTCGCTCCGCTCAATAGTAGAGCAGCATTGACTGTCACCAATGGCAGACAGTGTGTTTACACTATCTCGCTCCGCTCAATAGTAGAGAATTATTATACTCTAATTATATTTATTGCAAGTTACATCGTTATCACGTGACTCGAAAACCTTACTAAAAAAACATAAGCGCGTTATTTTTAGCAACAATACTCTTTGCAAAACACTGTTTGTATCATCTAAACAAAAGTGAAATGAAATGCAAAATTCTATTTAAAAAAAGAGGGCGTTTCTCTCAAGTTTATTGCCTCAAAAGGCAGGTTGGTTGTGCAACACACGGGTTTGACTGCAAATTCTCTCTCTTCATTGCACAATAAGGTGTAAGGTATATTACAACTTTTTTTCTTTCCACCAATTCTATTATATGTACCCATTGATTTACTCCAAATTCTCTACATTATGTATCAACAGTATGAAAAGTGAAAAAATATATCTTTCCTTGGTGAAAAGTATGAGAAGTGAAAAAATATGCTTCCTTGGTGAAAAGTATGAAAAGTGAAGAAATATGCTTCCTTGGTGAAAAGTATGAAAAGTGAAGAAATATGCCTTTCTTTGATGAAAAGAATTGAAGTGAAAAATCAAGACTCTAGTCAAACTTGATTTTTTTGTTTTCATGACATTTGATTTAAATAAAAAAAACCAGTTTTTTTAAATCAACCAACACACACACATACACATACAAACTACTGAGTGTTGTAACGGCTACTGAGTGTTGTAACGGCTACTGAGTGTTGTAACGGCTACTGAGTGTTGAAACGGCTACTGAGTGTTCAAACGGCTACTGTGTGTTGTAACGGCTACTGAGTGTTGTAACGGCTACTGAGTGTTGTAACGGCTACTGAGTGTTGAAACGGCTACTGAGTGTTGAAACGGCTACTGAGTGTTGAAACGGCTACTGAGTGTTGAAACGGCTACTGAGTGTTGAAACGGCTACTGAGTGTTGAAACGGCTACTGAGTGTTGTTCCACTATCTCGCTCTGCTCGATAGTGGAATGTCAATTCTTCAACGAAGGATACTTTTCAACAGCCTCTACTAAGAAATCAAATTGCTCAGTATTCTCAATAGCAGACTTGATATGACTTGCTGTAATTCTTTTAGCACCCTGCTTTTTCGCCTGTAATATAGACACTTCCACCAAGTTGGCCATAAATATTTCCAAGGCCCTACCAACAATAATTGGAGTCGCCTGAGCAACTTTACCAATTTCCTCATCGCTCTGCATAATCTTTTTGATTCTTGCAGCTGGGAAATGAGTTTTAATTTTTTCAAAACTCAGTAATATCTGTTCCTGTGATATATGGTTTAAATTTGATGCCGAAGACGATGCTTTGGGCGAGTGGTGGTCTACTTGAGACGCCTCTTGCGGTAATGGCTGCTCTTCAATCGGTTGCGTTTCTTCTAGACTCGTATAATTGTTGAAATTATAATTGTAATTTGGTAGCGCCAGCGGCAGCGGTTGTTGTTGTTGTTGTTGTAAAGGCAAACCCGTGTGTTGAGTGAATGAAGCTGTGTGATTGTTACCGCCAAAGTTGGTAGCATGGCTATGGCTGTTACCGCCAAAATTGGTACTATGGCTATGGCTGTTACCGCCAAAATTGGTAGTACTGGTGTTATTCTCAAGGGGTGTTGTTGTGTCAATAAGATTGCTTATACTAGTTTTACTTCTATTGCTTAAGTAATCATTCTTATTATTGTCGTAATTCATAAGATGTCTTAGATTCGACATTGCTCTCTAATTTGTTAGCGGTAGTGTACAAATGTTCAAATTTATCAAGGTCGTTGGAATAGGGGAAAAAAAATTGGATTCCTTTTTGTTTTTTTTTTTTTTAATTGGCAAAATTCTGCCAGGTATTTATATTAAGTGGGCAGGATTTTGTATGACAGTTACGTGTAAGTGCCGACGAGATGAGATGATCTACTCGCATTTTTTAGGGGCATGTATTATTTGTGCTTATATACACGACTACAATTTTTTTTTGCTTTTCAAGAAAGTTGTGGTCGTGTACGCGTACATAAATTATAGTAGTGATGAGTATCAATGATGAGGTGAATCAATGAATAATGTATATGATGAGGTGACGTTTTGTTCTACAAACGTCACAAATCTTTTGTAACAAGCTACTAAGTGAGGTAACAGTTTGTTCTATATTTTTAATCTATGAGGCAGTTTGTTTAATCAATGAGGTAGTTTGTTTAATTGATGAGGCAGTTTGTTTAATCGATGAGGCAGTTTGTTTTATATATTTAGTCTCTAGACCGGCTAGGATTCCACCTTTTATACAAAATTTCTGATACCCTATATCTACCAAATAATTTCTTTATTACTAGGCCATCATCTACACCATCGTTACCATTACTAATAATCTCATCAAACTCAAATTGACTCGGTGGCTCAACATAAATATGTACAAAACTTTTCTTTACTCCGCCAACTACTCTAGCCCCTGCACTCATTTGAAACCAATCCACCATACCCACACTCCTCTCGCAACTCATCCTCCCCTCAAAATCTCCCACACTCTCATCTCCCACACTCTCATCTCCCATACTTTTTTCATCTTCCAATATCTGTATACAGAATTCGGCATGTGAAAATGGCGGACCTCTCTTGTACAATAAATAGTCAGTCCCAAACTTAACACCAGACCTAACACACCACCCTTTGCTCCTAAAATAATGATATACAATATAATTAATAATGAATTTATTATTAGCACAAATCTTGTTATTCCCAGCATATAACCGACAACAGTACTGAAATAATTCTTGTAAACTCATTGCTTTTATATCATCAACCACACTAACAATGTTTAATGCAAATTTCAAGAAAAACACTTCAACCGCTTGAAGTTGTAAAAACTCCAATTGAACGAGTTTTCCTTGAGTGTCAATAACAAACTTGTCTTCTTTTCTGACATCCGCATCTAATGGCTCTTCATCCTTTTCCTTTTCCTTTTCCTCCTCCCCCACAACAATACCAACTCTCTTTCTAAACTCAACCAAACTCTCATCCAACCGCTTCATCTCCTCCAACTCCGCTTCCTCAATCGTATTTTGTTTCTCCTTCAATTGCAAATCTTGCAATCTTTGTCTCTTCTTTTTAAACTCAATTCGCTCAGTTCTTCGAACTTTAGTTATATCTTCCATTGCAAGATTCCTCTTTTGGAAGGTACTATCCTCCAAATTCAACCTTGAAATGGTTCTCTCTTTCCAGGTTGGTTCAGATCGCGAAAGAATACCTTTACCAAAAAAGCCCAGTCTCCATAATCTGGTCATAAAAGCCTCATTGACGACTTTAAATACGCCATCTTCTACCAAGACCTCAACCAAATCCTCTTGACAGCAAGTGTCTCGAAGCAGCAATAAATAGCATTTGAAAAACTTGAATAAATACAAAATCCACGAAAAGACACTTACACTTTGTCTATTTACCCTTAAGTCGATACCATATTTTTCGCTGGCTAAAACAATAGGTAATGGCTTTTGATATATTCTATTTAAATATCTCGAATTTTTTTTACCCATTAACTATCGGAAAAAACAAACAAATGTTAGTAACAAAAAACAAAAACAAAAAAAGGCCCTTCTCTTCAATGAATTGCCTCTCTCTCTCTCTCTATCTCTCTATCTCTCTCCCGCGTTATTATCTATCAGATACCGTTGTAGTCTATTTTGAGAAATCATGTAACTCACACCGATCTTTCGATCTTAAAGACATTATAAAAATATTATATCATCACTAAAAGAAAAACACTAATAACAGAATTATAGCATTCAAAAGAAGAAATAAAAAGCATTTCACATACACCCTATTTGTTTCACATCTCTAATAGAAGGAAAAGGTATTCAAAAAAAAGAGAAAAACCTGCCAAATGAAAGAATGAAAGAAAGAGAAGAAGGAAAAGATGAGGTGAAAAGAAGGGAAAGATGAAAAGTGAAAAATATTTTTCTCTGATGAGCAGCGCCAGCTTTCAAAGACCAGTTGGTAGCACCAAATACGATAGCACTAGATTTCGATGAGTAGTACCTTTTTGAAACTACATTATACTAGCTTTATGATGGATAGAGTTTACAAATGGTCAGCGATCAGCATATATGTCAAGAATGTGACAAGCCGGTTCAGATAAGCGATTCTATAAGACGTCTTAATACTCTGCAATTGGGGCTTTTAGTCAATAATGAGCTTAATAAAGATCATATGAAAGCTGATCTAGAGCGGTTAAATGAGTTAGACCCTCATGATTATTTAACAACAGAGAAACTTGAACTATATAGTCGGGTGCCTAAGAATACAAGGCCTGTTTATTATAAGAGCTACTTTGAGAGTGAGGATGAAGAAGAAGAGGAGGAAGAGGAGGAGGAAGAGGAGGGGAGGAAGAAGAAGAAGGAGGAGGAGGAGGAGGAGGAGAAAAATGATGAAGAGGAAGATGATGAAGAGGAAGAAGTATTAGAGGAGCCTGGAGAAACTTCAAATTCTAATTCCAATTCCGATATACATTCATACCTAGTGGTCAATGAAGATGAGGGTGACGAGTTTAAACAGTTAGAACCTAGCTCATTAGAGGCTGACGACGAGAATGAAAACTTTGAGATTAAAATATCGAGTCGGATAAAGACTTTGAACAAGATTTTCAAAATTTTATCCAACACTCAGGATATTGACCATCCGTTGAGTGAGGATTGTGCACAATTGCTACTACAAAACTACCAACTCAAGTTTGATCAAATCCAAAAGGAAAAAGACCAATATTTGTCGTTTTTAAAAAGGCTAAAGGTTCAAGATTCAAAACTCAACTTGGTTGACGAAAAAGGGAGCATGCGTACACGGTTTGAAGATCAGGAGCTCAACAACACTCTCAAACAGTCACTTGAAGAATTTCAAAGATTGACCAAATTAGAACATGAGCGATTACGAGAGTTGAAGGAGTTGGAGAAAACCAAGGCAGATTTAGATTTGCAGTTGAGCAAAAATGAACAAGAATTGAATGAAATTACTACAAAACAACTTGATGGAATAATACGACTAAGGAACGAACTTCAGCTAAATCTTATGGATAAGCAAAGCAAGCTCGATCAACTAAAAGCATCCTACCAACTTCAGCTAAACCACATTGATGAACTAAGAAGCTTCAACATATACAAAATGATGTTCAATATCAGCTTAGAGGAAAAATACGGCACAATCAATGGATTTCGTATTGGATATAGGATAGTGTGGCCGGAAGTCAATGCGGGATTGGGGCAGATTGTTTTGCTAGTTGTATTTCTAATGAAAAGGTTGAATATCAAGCTTGATACGTATAGAGTTGTTCCAATGGGTTCACAGTCGCATATTGTGAAATTCACCCAGCAGAAAGACGGTACACGAAGTAAAAAGACTTTGAACCTATACTCTTCGGACGAGTTTACCTTAGGAAGGTTGTTCAATTTCAATAAATTGGATGTTGCATTAATTGCTTTATTGGATATTCTTGCAGTAATAGATTACAAGTTGAAAGAAATCGATAGCGAAATCGAATTACCTTACAGCATAAAAAACGATACTATTGGAGGAAAGAGTATAAGAGTTACTTCTAATTCAGAGTGGACTCAAAGTTGTAAGGCCCTACTATGCGATTTAAACTGGATGTTGACTTTCATAAGTGTTCACACTAATGATGAATAAAGACACTATCGACCGACACTATCGACCGACACTATCGAGCAGAGCGAGATAGTGGAGAGAGACTAGACGAGTGAAACGAGATAGTGGAGAGAGACTAGACGAGTGAAACGAGATAGTGGAGAGAGACTAGACGAGTGAAACGAGATAGTGGAGAGAGACTAGACGAGTGAAACGAGATAGTGGAGAGAGACTAGACGAGTGAAACGAGATAGTGGAGAGAGACTAGACGAGTGAAACGAGTCTAGTCGATAGTATACAGACTATCGACACTATCGAGCACACTAGCTGCCATCGACACTATCGACACTAGCTGTCACCCTATGCGCGCGTAATCGAAAAATTTATTCGTTACCTCTAAGAATGAATGTCGACACTATCGAGCAGAGCGAGATAGTGGAGCACACTTACTACACCTATACACCTCATAGATTGAGTATAATTGAATAGTATTATTACGGTAATGCCGTAATCTAATATACAGGTATAGAATATAGGTCCACTATCGGGCAAAGCGAGATAGTATCTTCAAAGCGTTGCTCCACTATCGAGCAAAGGGAGATAGTATCTTCAAAGAGTTGCTTCACTATCTCGCTCTGCTCGATAGTGTCGATATAAGATATATGGTCTACAAGACATATAGGTATTGAATATATATAGGTAAAAAAAATATAAAAGATTTATTGTCAATGATCTAAGATATATCTAGTGTCACTAGTCAGTGGTGCTCCACTATCGAGCAGAGCGAGATAGTGGAGATAGTGGAGTGAGGTAAAGCAAATTTCTTTTGGCTGGGAATTTTTTTGCAACAACTTTTGCAACAAGATTCAAATCTTGCAACCAAATAGGCCCAACTCTTTTCCTTTCTTCTTGTGAGGATGTCCAAGGTATCTAGTGTACCTGTAGAGAGTTATATTCGGTATTCTAGTCCCATTTGGAGACAAAGCGTCTCTGAGAATACTTCGGGACTCCTTGATTCAGCTTCGTTTAGTGCCATCGATACGCCAACTAAAGTGAACTATCCTCTGTTGTTGAACAGCTCAATAATGAGTCAGCAGCATGTTAGAATTATAAATGAGCATATGGTCCCACGTAGAAAGAGCGAAGAGCTTTCTACTGGACTCAAGGGCAATTCTTGCTTGCAAAATTTGGAGTTGATCGATAGCTCACCGCTTACTTTATACAATGTCAAGGGCTGGAGGCCAGAAACAGAAATCTTGTCCGATTGTCGGAATCAAGACGAATTGATCAAAGCTAAGGATGTTTACAGAAACATATATGAAACTAGTCCCCTCACTGCAAGCTTGAGCTCGAAATCAACGAGATCTTCAACTAGTGTTAAAGCTCAACTTAGTGTCATAAAAAGGTTTAATAAGGAAATAACAACGATAATGCCATTTCTGCTGCCAAGTATAGAGCAAGAACATGAGCATGAACAAGAACAAGAAAATGAGCACGAGGAGGTCGAGGTCGAGGTCGAGGATCTTTATCCAAGGAAAATTGATTCTTTTCAAGATAGGCTCACAAAAGTGGATCTGTCAATAATGAAAATCAGTCTGGTAATAAATTCAGAAAGTAAAAGTGGTTGTGGCAGCGGCGGCGGCGGCGGTGATGTTGCTGCTGCTGAGCTGCAACAACTAAATAGAGCTGTTACCTCTACTCCAACCTCAAATTCAACAACCTCAAATTCAGCAACCTCAAATTCAAGTCATCAGTCAAAAAAGAATTCGATAAAACAGCTTGATTCTTTATCCTTTGGATATCCAGTAACCTTGAATATTCTGCGACTGGTTCTAACACAAATCATTGCAAGTGCACCTAAAACTCGATTCCACCATTACCGCCGCCACAACAACCACTACAACTACAACTACAACTACAATCACCACCACCACCACCACCATCACCATCACCACAAAAGATCATCAACAAATGACATTCAACTGACAACAAACTCTACTTACCATTTCAAATCACGTCAGTGCCAGATAGAATCCAAAAACAAACATACACACAACGACAAAATTTCCCAGCCACGAAAAAACAATAAAGTGAGATCGAAAACTGGCTGTTGGACTTGCAGAATTCGCCACAAGAGGTGCCCTGAAGAAAGACCCATATGTAGTCAATGTATTAGATTGAACTTGAACTGTGATTACTCAATTGAGCGACCACCTTACATGGACAAGGGTCATTTGCACATAGCGAAACTCGAAGAAATCAGAGCACTTACAGGGAACGTGAAAAAATCTAATTTACGTGAAATGTACACGAAACGGAAACGCCAATTGACAACATCAACAACAACAACAACAACAACAATAACACCTGAAAAGAGAGGAAGTGATCATTTTCATCAGAATTGATTAAAAAAATTAAAAAAAACTTTTTCTTTCTTTTTTTTTTTTTAAATAAAATAAAAAACAAAGAGGAATCAAGAGGAATAAAAAAAAAAGGACTAAAAAAAAAAATCAAAGTAGTCAAGGAGGAAGAAAAAGGTACAAAGGAAAAGGAATACATATAGACATATATATTCAAGGAAGAAAAAGGGCAATAACTAAGCAACAACCCCTTTTGATTAAACCACCATAATTCATTAGCATCATTGGAGGTATTAATCCTTTTTTTTTTTGGTTTTTAGCTTTGTTTTTCTTTGTAATAAAATTTTATTTATCCTCATTATAACATATAAAGAGTGAAATAAAGGCAAACAAGATAATGCTACTGAAAATTCTTGTTGTGTTTGGTATATTTTGCACCATTGTCAATGCATTTTATTTACCAGGAGTTGCCCCTACAGATTACAAGAAGGGGGATCCAGTTCCGTTATTAGTCAATCATTTGACTCCATCGTTGAACCATGTTTCAAACAAAGTAAAGGTAAACTCAGCCACTTATGTTTATTCATACGACTACTACTATCCAAAGTTTCATTTTTGCCTTCCAAAAAATGGGGCAAGTCAACAACTGGAATCATTAGGATCGATTCTTTTTGGTGATCGTATCTTTAATTCTCCCTTTGAAATTAACATGTTGGATAATGTCAAGTGTAAAAAACTTTGTGCTCCTGTAACTTATCCGAAAACTGATTCGGTATTTGTTAACAGAAACATTCGCGCTGGATATAATCACAATTGGCTTGTGGATGGACTTCCAGTGGCAAGTATAGTAAAAGATCTTCGTACAGGTACCGAGTTTTATGGTTCCGGGTTTCATATCGGTGAAGTTGACACAGACCAGCGTGCAGTGTTGTACAACCATTTTGATATTACTATCGAAGTTCACAAGCGAGGAAAAGACATTTACAGGGTCGTGGGTGTAACCGCAGATGCACTGTCAATGGACAGATCAGGGTTGCTGGCAGATGCTTCTCCTGAAGAATTTTGTGATTCCAATACTTTGAAACCAGTACATTTGGACAAAGATAAGGATACAGAGGTTCAATTCACATACTCTGTGAACTTTCAAGAAAGTGATATTGCTTGGGCAACAAGATGGGACAAATACCTTCACGTTTACGATCCAAAGATCCAGTGGTTTTCTTTGATAAACTTTTCACTTGTTGTGTTGATACTAGGAGTAGTTATTGCCCATATTTTGATACGGACTTTGAAAAATGATATTGTTAAATACAATGAGGTTAACTTAGATGACGATTTGGCCGACGAGAGTGGGTGGAAGTTGATTCATGGTGATGTTTTCAGACCCCCAGTACAAAGATTGCTCTTGTCAGTTTTGGTTGGTAGTGGAGCCCAGATCTTCTTTATGGCTTTTGTAACAATTATCTTTGCCTTGTTTGGCTTGTTGTCTCCTTCCAATAGGGGTGCCTTATCCACATTCATGTTGATTGTTTATCTTTCAAGTAGCACTGTGTCATCCTTCGTTTCTGGGTACTTGTATAGATTCCTTGGAGGCGACAATTGGAAGTTAAACATGCTACTTACCCCGGTACTTGTTCCAGGTACCTTGTTTGGTATCTTTGTGTTGTTGAACTTCTTTTTGATATCCGCTGAATCATCAGGAGCAGTACCCATTGGAACAATGATTGCTTTGATATTGATTTGGTTTGCTGTTTCAATTCCCTTATCTATTGTTGGTTCGATTGTATCATCAAAAAGACCCTTACTTGATGTCCCCGTTAGAACTAATCAAATCCCAAGACAAGTGCCTAAACAGCCATGGTACTTGAGGCTGATCCCAGTCATGTTCATCAGTGGTATTTTCCCATTCGGTTCAATTGCAGTTGAAATGTATTTTATCTATTCATCATTATGGTTCAATAAAATTTTTTACATGTTTGGATTTTTGTTCTTTTGTTTTTTGCTCATGATTTTAACAACAAGCTTAATCACCGTTTTAATGATTTACTATACCTTGTGCTCGGAGAATTACAAATGGCAATGGAAATCAATTTTCGTTGGAGGCGGCTGTGCTATTTATGTTTTCATTCACTCATTATTTTTAGTTGGTGGTGAAAGATTGGGAGGCTTCACCTCATTGGTGTTGTACACGGGTTACTCGATAGTAATCTCGCTTCTTGTATTCCTTTGCTGTGCAAGTGTTGGATTTATCAGCAGCTTGTTTTTCGTTAGAAAGATATATGGTCAAATCAAGATTGATTAAGGGATTGTTAGAGGGGAAGAAAGAAAAAAGAAAACAAGAGTTAAAAAAGAATTGAAAAAGAATTCAAATCAAGGGTTAAAGGTTTTGATAGATCATAAATGTCATTAAGTTTTTATATATAAAAAGAATAGCCATTCATTAAATCTAGTTTGATTGTAGTTGATATCTCATGAAGCCATTGACTATCCTTTGTTTTTGATCCGCTGACTAAAAAATCAAGCTTATCAACACTAATTTGTTCTCTTATTTGTCCAATCTTTTGTTCATTAATTTGTAGATTGTTCAAGTTTAAAATGAGTAAGTTAAATGATATTGACAAATTATGGTTGATCTTTGAAGTATTTTCATCGGCTGGTAAATTATCCACAATACGTTTTACCAACTTGATTGCAAAAAAAAGCTGCGTGATTGATGCATTTAAACAAGGATGTATAACGTTTTTGTTGGATACTGTGGAAGTACTCAAATAGTTGGCATAGTTCATTACTGTAAAAGCTAGATTTTCCATCGCCTTCATTAGCCTAGAGACATTCAGCATAACATCCTCCTTCTCTATTAAAAGTAATTGATATAGCTGGTATTTGTGATAAAGTACCAGGTTGAAATAAGAAAAAAAGGCATCTTCATTTGGTGAAAGAAGCCGAGGCTCAAACGAATCAACAGCAGTTCCATTGACAATCAAATATTCTCGAAACTTTAAAAGATCCAGTAGTTGGGCACAGTTTAAAAAAATTGGACAATTAAATGGAGTATTTGCAAGTTGAGCATAAATGCTCTTGTTTTCTGGACTTGGTACAATTTTCGCCGTACCCTCTGTGAGACATGAAATGCTATCAATCATATCCAAAATGATGTATAATTTTGCGAAACCAGCGCACAAGGGATCTACTATTTCCTTTGCTGTCTTTTGCTGATGCACAAACACCTCAATTGCGTTCAAATCAGTTAAAAAAGATAGGGCCATGGCCATGCCTGGGGAATAGTGACCACCTTTCAATAACAAGCTGCAATTTACCAAAACAAGCGTCGTTACATAAATGAATCTGGAAAACTTAACAATCTTGGTTTGTGAAGCAATCAGTTGCAACCGGAAAAAGATCGAAATGGATGTGTACTCATCAAAAGCCTTGAAATTTACCAAGTCGTTTAATGCCATATGGAAACACTCTACTATATTTTCACTTGGAGCCTCACCAGCTCCAGACTGTATCATTGCAATAAGCTGCTCACTCGTGACAGGAATGATCGGGAGAGATTTGGCAATATTTCGTTCATAAATTTCCAAATCTAGCTTAAGCAAATCCATAGGCGACTTCAGACTCTGGTGTGGGTTTATTTGTGCAATTTGAGGAGTAGTTAAAAATTGGTGAGGATTAAATCTTACTGCGTCATTATTGTTGCCACCATTACCATTACCATTACCATTACCACCATTACCAAAATTGCCACCATTACCACCATTACCGCCACCAATATTACTAGGTGACTCGGCCATCGAAAATGAAGTTGGAGATTGTGGTGGCCCGACAAAGAGAGATTTGTTTATACGCCCATTCAAGCTAGATAGCGAGGTTATTGAATTCCTTGGTGAAAGTGATTGGCTGTTGTTTCTTGCAACAAGTGGCCGTGCATTTGAGGATGACCTTATCGAGTAAAAATCTTCTGATTCAGAATCACTCAAAAGGGCGCTTGAGCTTGAAGCCTTCATTTGGGGAGTTCTAGTAGCATTTGTTGTTGAAGTTGAAGAAACTGAATCTATAGAGGATCGTCTTCGACCGTGAACTGGACCAGTGCTTGTAAAACTGGTTACCGAGGAACGATGAGACCCGGAAGAAATTGGCATTTCATACGGCACTTTCCAAAACGGACCCTGTATTGGAGGGCTATTGGTGTTGACACTTGAGCCATGCATTAGCTGCGTAGTAGTTCCACACTGTAAATGTTGTTGCAGTGATGAACTCGGGCTCGATGGATTGGAATCTACTGAATTAACTGAATTGATTTTCTGTATAGCTGGAGTTATAGGTTTTGTTGAGAAATTAATTAGCGGTGGAAGTTTTATTGAACCACCCACTGAAGAAAGTGATTGCGAGTGTGGTCTCGCCAGAGCGGATTGTGAAAATGGTAAGCTGGCAGTGGTGGTGGTTGTACTGCTGGTAGCCAGCATTTCATCTTTTGTCTGGGATATTTCTTGCCGACTTCGTTGATTGTGAGGTGCAAACGAGGAGGATTGATCTTTACTTGCAACTTGGGATGCAGTGTAACTGTTGGAATTTAGTACATTGTCGATACTTTGTGGGAAATTGTTATTGGTGCTATTAGTGTTTGTAGAAGTTGTGGCAGCACTACTTGTTGTTGGTGGTGGTGCAGAAGCTGCTGTTGGTGGTGCAGAAGCTAAAGGCGCTTTTCTTGAATCATTCACCAACTCGACTCGATTTTCTAGATCCCTGATATATCCCTTTGATGGACCCCTTTTCAAGGGAGTTCTTGAAAATGTGCATTCTTCAATGTTTTTTTCACAATTTGTACATATTTGTGTCACTTTGTTCAAGGTTGTTGAAAACTCTGCATTGCATTTCACTTTCTTCTTCCTACAAGCATCGCAGGCACGGCTTATTTTTGAGCGTTTTCTCGGCGGATTCGAGGATTTGGAGTAAAAAGATGTTGTTTCTGAAGAAATCGCACCTCCATTAGTTTTGGCAAGCAGACCAATATTTTGTTGAAAGTGGGGATGACTTTGTGGCATCGGATGCATATGTTGTTGTTGTTGCTGCTGCTGTTGTTGTTGTTGTTGTTGTTGCTGTTGTTGTTGTTGTTGCTGCTGCTGATACAAATCTGAAAGCGCCAACTGTTTTGGTTGACCAGTATCTAAAAGAATATCATTGATAGATGGTATCAGCTGAGAACTGGTATTTGATGCCATCATTGTTGCAAAACCTTAACCCACTACTCAGCGACAAAAGGCGGGGAAACGGAATATGTTCTCTATCTGGATAATTGATTAAGAAAGCGGACCCTCTCTGTCACTGTGTGCATTTTCGCCTGGGGTTTTCACCGTGGGCTGGTCCCACACACAAATCGCACAGGCGTGTAGATGCGGGAAAACGCGCTACCATGCATAAAAATGACACTATCGAGCAGGGCGACACTATCGAGCAACACTATCGAGCAACACTATCGAGCAGAGCGAGATAGTGTTGTAACAGCCTGCTGAGTATTGCTCCACTATCGAGCAACACTATCGAGCAGAGCGAGATAGTGGAGTAGCACTGGCTGAGCGAGATAGTGTTGTAACAAGCTGCTGAGTATGGCTTCACTATTGAGCAAAGCGATACTATCTCGCTCTGCTCGATAGTGTTGGAACAGGCTACTGAGTATGGCTTCACTACTGAGTATCGCTCCACTATCTCGCTCTGCTCGATAGTGTTGTAACAGGCTACTGAGTATGGCTTCACTACTGAGTATCGCTCCACTATCTCGCTCTGCTCGATAGTGTTGTAACAGGCTACTGAGTATCGCTCCACTATCTCGCTCTGCTCGATAGTGGAGTAGCACGTATATAGGACTATACGGTGTTTGCTTTGGCTTCCGCCTCCACTCTTGTCGTGTCGTGTCGTGTGTAGTCAATAGATGTAATAGAGATGCAAGAATATGGAGACATGTGAAATGTAGGAAACAAGGTATGTAGTCAATATATGCAGGAATATAAAGGTAATGAGGTGTATAGGTGTAGTCAGTGAAATGAAGGAAAGAAGATATGTAGTCAATAGATGTAAGAATATGGAGACTGGTGAAATGTAGGAGACAAGATATGCTGTCAGTAGACGCAGGAATATGGAGGGTGAGGTGTATAGGTGTAGTCGGTGTGCTCCACTATCTTGCTCTTTGTAGTGTCGTCTCGATAGTGTCGTCTCGATAGTATTGTCTCAATAATGTCGTCTCGATATTGTCGAAACATGCTGCTTTCCACTTACCCCAAGCTTAGGAAAATGTTCCATTCTCTAATTATATTCATAAACCCAAGTTTGCTTTCTTCTTCACCTTCTGCTCTTCTATGCCATATTTCGTAAAGAATTTGTTTGGCTCGCCAATAATTTGGCTGGTTGCTGAAACACTTTGTGCTCCAAATCAGCTTGATTCGTTCCTGCTGCAGCGAAATTGTTGCAATTGATCCGCACATGAGTAGAATCCAAAACATGGGCCTAAACTCGATTTTTAAAATAGTCGTTGCTAGCTCACTCGCTCGTGACAAAAAATCTAAACAATTGTCGACCAAGTAACTGTATTTTTCAGCTCTAAAATCCTTTTCCATTAATTTGTGGTGACAAATAATCGCCGCTTGATGAAACGAGTTGATATGATTGATCAAAAATTCGTGAAACACATTCGTTGCATCCAAATTCCAATTCAGTTTCGTATGGTGCCAACTAACTAGTTTATCTTCCACTTCTGCTGTGATTCGCGGGAAATTTCGTGGGAAAACCTTGCGGTGGTCAAAAATGTTCTTGTGATTGGCAATGTGAATACTTTCATGGAAAATATGCAACAAGTCTCGTGGAAGCCCGTACATTAAATAGATAAGATCGGCATCAAATAGCAGCGTGAATTTGGTTTGCAAATAAGGCCTGAATTTGATCTTTGGTGAATGGCCACTAGCACCATCAGCTGTTACCTCATATGCTGCAACATAATCCTTGTTGGTATCAAAGTTTATAGTATATGCAGTGGGTATATATGTCAACGAATCCACTTCGTTAGTATTCGCGACCATATCTTGAATCGTGGGTCGTACATGCAACCCTTTCGAATGTGAACTAAATCCTTCTTCTTCTTCCTCCTCCTCAACACCATCTTCGTCTTCTTCTTCTTCTTCTTCTTCTTCTCCGTTATCATCACCTTCTTCTTCTTCTTCTTCATCTTCATCTTCTTCCTCATCATCTTCGCTTTCAAGATTTATCAAGTCGTAATCATCGTCTAAATCCTTGTAATGGTACTGCACATCGTTTTTGTCAATTTGGAAATTATATATATTTACCGATTGAGTTCCTTCATACATGAAATATTTTATCTTGAAAATATTGATTAATAGCTTGTTGACTGTTTCCATTCGCCGAGTCCTCTCAAACTTGGTCTTGATGACAAGATCACCAATGGCATAAATAAGATCAAAGTTTTCAAAAACACTAAACACACTGTCCAATTCTATTTGTAGTACAAGTGTGAGTAACAAAGATGTGTCATAGCTTCCCATTTCTTTGCTATGTTTCTGTAATTCGGAAATGCTATCAAACTCATCAAGATGGTAATTGAGCAATTTAATACTCAATTTGCGAAGTTTGATACTAATCCTTAGATATTCGTCAATAGTGTACCCACTACCGTCATCTCCATTCAGTATTGTTCTTTTGGAAAGCTTAAAAGCGCTTAGTCCCAATGTGAGGAATACAATACATAAATTGATACTGTGCATAAGCTCTACAACACTCAACTCTTCAGCTTCTTGCAATGCGTCTACATTCCAAGCTGCAAAGTCCCAACATATAAACTGACCAACAATTTGCTTAATGTACGGAATCAAAAGCAAGTCAATATAATCATTGTGAAAACCCATTCTATCGATCAAAATCAAGTCCAGACTAAATGCATTCAAAAGCTTGTTAAATAACGGGCGCAATATCAACGAACAGTTGTTGTTATTGTTGTTTTTGTTGTTTTTGTTGTCATCGTTGACGTTTTCTCTTGTGAATAACTTACCTATAACCAAACGTGCACTAGCTAACCAATTGTCATCTGAATCGATGTTGGGGAAAAAATTGGGGTATAGAATGTGCATCATATTCTGCTCATTGATTTCAAAATCAGGACCCTTAATTGCAAAGATGGTTAATGCGGCATACTTGAGAAAATCAAAATGTACATGAACATTTCGAGCAATAGCACCAGTTTTCTTTTCAAGTGGCGTCATGTGGCATTGAATAGGAGTTACCAGGTTGAATCTCCGCGAAAATGTAGAAGCAAACCCTTTCTCCTTCTCATTACCCTTTGCATTCTTTTCCTCTTTTCCCTCTTCCTCTTCGTCTTCCTCTTCGTCTTCGTCTTCGTCTTTCTCTTGCATTTTATTTCCTTTTTCTCCTCTTTCTCGACTACGTTCAACGTCCCTTTTGAAATGAAAGCAGCGGAAAGGACCCACATGAGCTCTCCCCGTTTCAAATACCGAATGATCAACTTCTTCTACAACCTCGTTTAGCCGCTGGTACGTTTCATAATGCATATTTTTCGGGAATTTCATCAACTCGATGCTCCTTCTTTGAAAATTGTTCAAGTCATCTCCCGAATCCAAACTGATCATACTGTTATCCTTCTCGGACACAGAAATTGGATTGCCCCATCCTAGCCTTATTTCATAGCCCTGACATTTGTGCTTCAGTTTTGAACAACGTTTGCAATACGGTTTGGTCAAATCACACTTTACCTTTCTGATTCTACACGTCCAGCAGCCATCAAACGTTCTCGCCTTTCTTGGCATGAGAATAAAAGGAACAACAACCCAGCACAAGCCGATCCAAGCTGTGATGATCCAAGCTGATCCAAGCTGATCCAAGCTGTGATGATCCAAGATGACCCAAGCTGATCCTAGATGATCCTAGATTATCCAAGATGATCCAAAATGATCCAATATTGGAGCTTTTCCTCTCTGAATTGATATCCTTGTATATGATTTCTATTTTATAAAGTTTATGTTTACGGTGGAAAAGTCAAAGCTTTTGTCTCTTGTTACATTTTTGAAAAATTAATGATATTTCCGATGAGGGAAGAGGAGGGGGAAGAAGGAAGAGGAAGAAGGAAGAAGGAAGAAGGAAGAAAGAAGAAGAGGAAGAAGAGGAAGAAAGAAGGTTAATAGCTATTCATGAGTTTTTCCAAGATACCTATTCCAACTTTCGATGAGTATGATCCGTCAGTGCCTGTGGTACTTCCACACGAGAATGTTTATTCGATTCAAGTAGGGTACAAGCTATTCCGGCTAAGTGGTTTATCGTTGTCGTTTGATTCACCATCGTTTTTCACCAGATTCTTTAGCGAGCCGGAGAATTCAGACAAGGTGTTGTTTATTGATAGAAGCCCTCAAGTATTTGAGAAGATTTATACCCATCTACAGGGATACTCGGTTAATATTGAAAATGATTTTGAATTCACAAATCTTTGGTGCGATGCTTTTTACTTTGGGTTATCAGGATTAAAGAAAATACTTACTGAGCAAGATTACTTTGCTAGTATAGGAAATGAGAGCTTCAAAATACCTAGGGCATTGTTGCAAGGTGAAGGGAACTATCCAAACTACTTTACAATCAATGCGGAACGTTTATTGTTTGACAATTTGAGTATAGTGGAGCGGAAAAACATGCTTAGACCTCCACCACAGCGACCTCCTAGCGTAATTGGTCGATCGTCACAATTGTTTGCCGATTTGCTTGAACTTTTGAAGGGCAATCAACAAGTGATAAAGAATGAAGAACACAGAAAGTTACTCTTGAAAGAAGCACGTTATTATCGATTTCTAGAATTGGAGCAAAGAACTATACAACATAAGATTGTTAACGATTGTATCGTGCTAAAGCTTGAAGATATATCTAAAAAGGGTTTGTTCAACGTATCTCCCGAGGATAAGAGAATCGAATTACCCATCAAGTATTCTAGGCCATTTATAGATGAGCCAAAACGTGATTTGATTTTTCAAATAGAGAACAATACGACCAATTTGAAAAACTGTGTGTTGTTGTTGAACAAGAGAACTAGCTTGGTGACAGCTCAGTTTCAGGGAGAGATACGCGCCAGTATTTTGCAAGTGCTTAGTGGTTATGTAGAAGGGTTATTAACTCATCAAAACTATATCGCATTTTTTGTGGGGTTCAAAAACCTGTACACGGTGATCAATGGTCGTGAAATGAAGCACAATTGGGTAAATGATCTAATTGGTGCAGATGGTGTTTTCAACATGAATGATGATCCATCAGACTCACAAAAAAAACGAAAGTTATCAGACAATGTAAAAGGAGAAATTATTGAAATTTTTTTGAAAAAATCAATGTGGAAGTTGCTAATGAGAGGAAACCTTGCTCGTCTTGAAGCCGTATCAATTGTTGGAGTCACATGTCCAGATCAAGGACATGTGGACTTTCTATAAAAAAAGGGCCACTATCGAGCGGGCCACTATCGAGCAGGCCACTATCGAGCGAAGCGAGATAGCGTCACTTAATCAATGTGCTCCACTATCGAGCGAAGCGTCACTTGGTCAAGGTGTCACTTGGTCAAGGTGTCACTTGGTCAATGTGCTCCACCATCTCGCTTGGCTCGATAGTGTAATATTATGCCTAAGTGTTTAATAAGTAGCAAGTTATCATTCTACACCGGTTTCAAATTGAAACCGCCGTACATGTACCTTGAGACAAAGCTCACGCATGCTCCTACGAATGCACATGAAGTCAAAAAATAAACCAAATGGTCATAGCTTTCTGGGTTTTCATTTATAAATGCACTTGCAATTGGTAAACCAAATAGGTCGCCCAATGAAAGTATGAAAAAAGCGGTTCCCAAACCTTTTCCCACATCGGCTGTTTTCACAATAGATGATACAAGGCTCGCCGAGAGACTCAAAACCGAACCACTTGTAAACCCAAAGCATCCTGCAAATACAAATAATGCTTTCAACCAATGGCCAAATGGGACCCAAATGACACAAAAGCTTATCAAGGATAAAACGTTGATAACACAAAATGTGTTGAACCTTCCAAAACCATGATCTGCCGCGAAACTTGGAATTATTCTACCAGGTATACTAAATGAATTGAAAACCACAATTAGTAAATAAGATTCGCTCTCTGAGAACCCGCGCATAGTCGAATAGGTGGGTAACTCTACCAAAGTGATCAAAAAAGCTATTCCGTTGAATAGCAAACCAGTAACAATCACCGTAAATAGCGGGTTTTTAATCATAATCCTAAAATCAATCGAGTCGTAAATCTGCTTGAAAATGTTGTCTTCGGTGTATTCAGCAAATTCTTTATTGCGATCGCTCACGAGAGCCCAGCCCAATAGTAGAAAAAACAAGGAAATGAATGCTCCTACTCGTATAGTCCATCCAAACCCAACTTTGGGAAACAATGCTCTGAAAATTAAGGGAAAGATAACACCGCCGACACCGCCACCAGTGTATGCAGCTCCAACTGCCAAAGCCCTTTTCAGTAAAAACCAATGACTTAGCACCGCGATAAAGGGACCAAAAGTGAAGGCGGCACCAAAACCTGCTAGCACGCCGTATGCCAAAATGAACTGCCAAACTTTATAGCAGAAGCTTGTACAAAGCAATCCCAAAAACATAGCGATACCTCCACAGAATACCGGTATTCTGCACCCAAATCTATCAAACACTACTCCTGATATCAAACACCCGCCAAATGCAAAAAAATTATAGAGTGAGAAGATCCAGCTTATTGTTGTTTGTGACTCTCCCTTTAAAGTATTTTCAGACAAATAAGTTGATATTACTCCAGCAGTATTTACAAACCCCAAAGACCCAATCAACCCTATAAACGAGCCCAATAAAGTCAACATGGCTTTTAAGTTCCAAGCATTTGGAAACTTTGCCGGATCGTCGAGAGTATGTAGCCGCTGTAGCTGCAGCTGCAGCTGCTGTTGCAGCTGTTGCTCTTCTTTTGTAGTATCGATTTGCTCAAACTCAAAGTCGCTTGTGTAAGTCGAGGTATCTGGTGTAACCAGATCTTCATCATCTTCATCATCGTCCTCACCATCCCTTGTTGAGGTAGCAACATGAACCTCTTCCTGCAACTGATTCTTCAACATTCCCTACAAGCAGCGCGCAAAATCTCCTACTACAAATGACTACCGATCCAAGTATTCAATTCTTGGCTAAATGGACTACAATCTTGGCTACCTATCTAAAAATAAACAAGCACCAATTATCATTTATTAAATAGGTCCAACATTCGCTTCTTATGGGTCAGCCTTTGCTAAAAAAAATAAAAAAAATAAAAAAAAAAAAAAATTCTTTCTCGTCTCGTTTAGGTCGAATGCGCGTATTTGCGCACTACCGATTAGGCAAATGAAGCGCATGGGAGATGAGCTGGAAGAAATGAGTTGCGCTCTAGTTGCATGTTTATGGGTTGCGCTCGAGGTGAACATTTGTGAGTTGCGCTCGAGGTGAATTCAAAGGGTAAATCAGATGCGCTTCATCAAGAGCTTATTAAAAAACTTTGGCGCAAAGTACCATGACGCCGAATACCAAGTTGGCAATAGGGCCGACGGAAATGTAAATGTAAATGGACTGCATGTAAGGCTAATATTAGTGAGAGAGATGGCGATGGTAATGGGGGGAGGAGATTATCTATTAATATCTAGCTACAGGTTCCAAAGGTTGTCGGTAGTTTGTCTCCAGTGAGATCATATGATTATAGTTATTATCTTCATATGGTACTGGTGAATTGACTTGAATTTGCCCCTGGGCAAGTTGTTGTTGGTTTTGTAAGACGGGGGAATGTACAAAGGTATTTTGATCAGCACCATCTGATACATACTGTGCTTGCGAAAAGTCTTCCCATTTGCTACCATATTGCTTTTCATAGTCCAATTGATTTGTTTGATAAATTTCTGGATGTTTTGATCGGTATTTTCTAACTGCACTGGGTATCATATCCATTGACCATAGTACTAAAAGCAATCCGTACCAAAACAATATCAACCATTCAAAAACAGCCGATTTCGAATCTCTACCTACTTTCATGTAATGGCCAAATGCGGCTGCAAAACAGATTGCGGCACATATCCAAATGATTTTCGCAAAAAAACTGACATAGTACAAATTAGCGCGTTTTGCTTTCCCAAAAACGGTAGATCTGTGCACCGGATCCAAATCAAAAGGTCTTGTTCCAAAGATGTATGTAATTCCAAAGTCGCAACAGCATGCTAAGAAAATAAATGCAATAAATATGCCAACCATGGCCATGTGCACATGATGATAATTCTTGGTGTTGAAAATTGAAACAAAAAGGATCCCCAATTGGCCAATTATCGAGCATATTATACTGGCGATAGCTAGTCTCGGTTGATGGTGTGAAATGTATGGTTGGATTTTGGAAACTTTTCTCAAATACATCCCCATCAATAATGTTCCAACAAAAAAGATGGCTTGAAACCCAGCACACGATATAAACAACGGTTGTAAATTAGTAGCCCCGATATCCGAAAGGTAGACTGGATTCTGGTACCCGGTCATGAAGGAATATATCGGTCTTCCTTGTGCTCCCCAACAAGCAAGCATTGCTATCAACATACCCCACCACACAACTAGAGCAATCAATGGGATGAGATAGTAGTGGATTACTTGAAACCTAACAAGTGGTTTTTTCGCTGAAGAATCCATGGTGAAAAAAGAAAACGTCTCTTTGAACAAGAAAGAGTCTCCACTAGGCAAGAAAAACGCTGTTGTTGTTGTTGTTGTTGTTGTTGAAAAGAAATTGGTTCAAGAGTTTTCACTAGAAAACACACACATACAGTTTAAGCATTATCTAACCTGAAACTTCTTCTTCTTGATCAAATAAAGAGCAAGCAATAAAATAAAAATAAAAATAAAAAAAAAAGTGAAAAAAAGAAACAAAATAAAGAACAATCAATCCCCAGCATTGGAAAAAGAAATGACGTATTTAATGGGTATCAACGGTTATAGAGAACCCATTTCAAAGATTGGGGTGATGTTTTCTTGCCTAACACATACAATATCAATTGCAAAGATTTATTAGTTTGTTTTCCATTTTACCAGTCTCAAACGTACATGTATGTATGAATATGGCTTTTTTTTTTGGCTTTCCAGACTTCTTGTTTGTTGTTTGGGGTTTGTTGTTGATGAGGCTATCGGTGCGCATCACAACTTCCGCAAGAACCGTGAAAAAAAAAAAAAAATATAATGGCACACGATTTTAACGAATAACCTAGCCTCATTAGTGTGCCTTAGAATATTAGATCACTTTTTATTACCAAAAGAGATGTTTGAAGAGACATTTTTATCGGCTAGAGTTCTATTCTGGAAAAAGAAACTCAAGACGTGAGGTGGTAATGATCTCGAACTCTCTTTTATCATAAAAAAGATAACGAAGTTTTGACCGTTGAAAAATCTATTTCATTTTGACAGGTGTAAAAACAAGTCGTGTATTTAATAATAACTCTGTAAATAATTGACATAAAAAATATTAGATCTAAACTTTTGTTGATATCGGATATGGTCCGACGCTATCCGCAATCCGCAATCCGCAATCCGCTATCGAGCAGAGCGAGATAGTGGAGCATTTACAAACATACTCAGATTTGTATAGCAAATCTGTTATTACGCACCAATACAAAATTTGGTGTTCAATATCATCAAGTGCTGATATAATAGATTTCCGTCATTGACAGTTGGTGTGCTCTACTATCTCGCTCTGCTCGATAGTGTCGATTTCTGTAGTTGACAGCTGGTGTGCTCTACTATCTCGCTCTGCTCGATAGTGTCGATTTTTTGAAAAGAAAATATGCTTGGTCAACTTTTGAGCATCTGTTGACAAATTGATAATGATATCGTCTCATGAAAAAGAGAGGGAAAAAACTGGCTGCAAACTTTTAATTTTGAATTTTTTTGCATTAATATAAATCAATATGTTCAGTATGGAAAAAGAGGGTGTCGAAAGCCGAGGGCCAAGGGAAGGGAAAAAATGGCAGTCTTTACACATTACATGCAAACTTGGTAATATGTAACATATTCACCATGTCGACTCCCAAGAGGATAGATAAAAGACTTTGAATATTTTTATGTTTGGTTCACCAATAAGAAAATATATGGTGCCATAACTTCCATTGCTCAAAAAAAATGCAATGAGAAGATGGCTTTCAAAAGATTTCCTACCTTCAGTAGTATAACTTAAGAAATTCCGATAAAATGAAAAAAACCTTAAGAGGCAAAAAAATAAAATAAAAAAATGGTAAGGTATTTTTAAAGGTAAAATTGCTCAATTTCGTGCATTCAGAAAATCATTTGGTTTCCATTAGTTTCTTAAATGCATATCTCTAATGTTAAGTGAACATTGCACGTTAACTAATGTGTGAAGCTTTAAACTTGGTACGTATCACAGCCACCAACAATTTTTAATATGTGCTTGTGATTGTGAAAAAAAAAAGGCCACGTTGAATTCTAGACAGCCTGTGTATGGTGGCAGAAGGGGGAAGAGGAATCCATAATCGTGTAACGGAATAAGAGAGAGTAGTTTGTAGTTTTGCTAGTGCTGCTTGCTAGTTAATGCAAGTAATAACTTTATTTCTCATCAGAAGTGACTATTTCGAATTTTTTTTTTTTTTTATACTTTTTCGTGCTCGCATTACTATGACTCGTAAAACCTACCTTTAAGGTTTATCACATACCAGTTGCACTTTAAGCAAGCTGGCATTTTCCTACAGTTACTTCTTCTCAATTCACATTTTATTTCTAGAACTAGAAAAAGAAAAACGAGCTAACAGGGAAAAGAAAAACAAATCACGAATTTTCCTACAATGATTGTCTATTAGTTTATCTTCTTTTGTTTTGCCATTTTGCTTTTGAACTATTATATATGAATTCATTTTGCATTAAAGTGCTTGAATACACACTTGAAGAGTTCGTGCAGGAGCAGAAAGAAAGGTTAGAATAGCCTTCTGTTATAGTTACTCTCATCCTTAATCACTTCAAGTTACTTTCTGCCCTTTCAAGACTTTTTACCCAGTTAAAAGAAAAAAAAAGAAAAAAAAAAGGATTTTCTGCGACATTAAGACCTTTCAAAACCAGTTTAATATTTTTACTATTGTCTTTCAAATGGGTTTTGATTAGAACTACCAAAGGCCAAATATTAAAAACAATACAGAAAGCAGACTTGCGTAAGAAAGTATAAGCGATGAAATTTACATGCTTTTTATTTTTGCTTACGTATTATGCCCTGTTTCATTCCAGTTTGGTTTTTTAAAATTCTAGCAATAATGCTAGTAGTACTAGCGGCAGTAGTAGAACGCCTTTATACACGACTGAAAGGAAACAGAGTCTAAAAAACAACAACTAAAACTCTTCTTTTTTTTTGTAGAAGGATTTAACAAGCTTCAAATCATCTCACTTCGCCTATACACAGGTTTTTAAACGTATCAAATTCAACCCCGAACCAAACATTTAATCCCATTTAATGTCCTCCTTAGTTATTAATTTCTAATCTACAACTAACTCATTCCATCTAGAGGAAAAGAAAAAAAAAGAAAAAAACAAGAGTGAGAAAAGAAAAGTAAAAAGCGAAAAACAAAAACGAAAAACAAAAACGAAGTAGGAAAAACAAATTAGTTGAAAATTAACACAATAGATGGAGTTGAAAAGAATGAATAATAGGATAATGATACTTCTTTCGTAGGTCAATTTTTAATTAGATCATAAAATCAGTTTTATGCAACAGGAATGTTGAATGGACCTGGAATAGAAAAAGAAAAGAAAAGAAATAAAAAAAAAAAAAGAAAGATTACATTAGGAAATGAACCCCAGTATTTCATTTTAATACTTTTTTCTTCAAGTTTGTGTGAATCTTTTTCTCTTGATCTTTTTACTCTTGATACAAGAAATGGACATAGTTACAAAAAGTAAATGAATAAGATTTTCCGTGTTATAAAGAGCCCCTCTGAAAAAAAAAAAAAAAAAAAAGGTACCTAAGAAAAATTGAGATTTTAACTTATTATTAATTGCAAATACCCGATTCGTTTAACCTCTACCTCATATCAACATTTTCTCACTTTACTGGGAAAATAATCTAGCTCTCTATCGGATGAAGAATCGTCTATCACTGCAAATTGTAGGAAAAAAAAAATTCGTTTGCTTATGGTGATGGATTTCTATGCTAGTAGGAAGAAAAAAAAGAAAATATCGTTAGGTCATCAATATCTCTATCGCTACCAGTCGTATAGCCGAAAATGTATGTACACTTACTACATTATTATTTATTTAGATTCACTACAGAACTTGATGCACTATCGACTAAAGTAAAGACAATAGGCTCTGGTATGACTAAGAAAGAAGGGGAGAGGAAGGAGGCAAAAGTTCGTTTATTCGGTGATGAGGGTTGAGTCTTTTTTTTTTTTATTATTCTATTTTACTATAAAGCTTAGACTTACTTGATGCTACCAACCGTACAAACAAGAAATGAAAATATGTAATAAGGTTGAAGTGTAAACTAAGAAAGGAAAAAATAAATAAATAATCGACAATAACTATGAATGGTGTTGACGGTAACAGTGACAACAACAATCCACCACCACCCCCTCTACATTGTTGAATAAGAAGTCAATAAAAACTATTAACGTAGATATTTCTTTTTTCTGTTTTTTTTTTTCTTCCACCTTAAAAAAGGTAAATTGAGTTGGAAGTTACTTGGAAACAAAGCAATATTAAAAAGAAAAAAAAAAAAAATACAAAAGATGAGTAGATATTGGCTAGTTAAACAATTCAGAGGTATTCTATATTACGTATGTGGATATGGCATTTAATTTTTTTTTTTGTTTTGCGTATTTTTTTTCCTTTTCTTATATGTGGGTATGTGTGTGTACCTCTTTGTCTCTCTGGAGTATGCTGGGTAGTAGGTAGAGTGCGTGCGTTATGAGCAAGAGTGATTAATGTTCAAAATTAGTGCACTTGGTACCAAGAACCAACAATCTACGCTTTTTATTTCCCACTGGCTCTTAAACCCGAATCTCTTTTATTTTTATTTATTTTTTTGGTAAATGACTGCACATCTTTTATTAATTGCTAGTTAAAAACCATGTTAAATAGATTCGCCAATAAAGGTTCTGTATTTAAATGAGCAGGTCACACACTCTCACCTGCTTAGTCTGGTTCCATCCTTAGCATCTTCTTTTTTTTTAATTCTTCTTCCAAGTTTCAGGTTTAGTCGTTTAAATGACAAGTGAGTAAAAATACTGATAAAGGTAAAAAAAACAAAAAAAAATTTGGGTAATATAGGAAACCCCGATTCGTTTGGGTTACCACATACACACACTTTTTTTTTCAACTCTACTACGCCCTTTCCTCTACAATGTAGTATAATAATGTTTACGTATATTGATTATGGTTAAGATAAAATCTCACATTAGTTGACGCAAAAAAAGTACTTTTGTCCATTTTCAATGACGCAAATTTCTTCTTCTTCTCTCTCATAAAAAAAAATTGAATAATATCCGTATTTTAATTTT